AGACAGCATGAAAGAGACGTCAGTTGGGGAGGAAACAGCAAGAACCTTCACTGTCACCAGGAGCAAGGTCACCAAGCCTGAGGGTACCCCTAGCAACAGCCTCAAGGCAAAGGACAGACACATCCCTGGTCCCGTTGCCCTTAGCGGCCTGCTACAGTCAGAGAAACAGGAGGAAGGCACCAGCCATACATCCCCATGCAGCCCCAGCTCCACACAGAATTTCTGCCCCTCCACCTGCCTGGCCCACAGACTCCTCCTGCTGGCTGACCGCATGTGGGACCCCTGGGGCACAGGTGACGTCTTTCTTGCTCTTCTCTACTTGCAGCCGCTGCAGAGCAAAACATCTTGCACCATGCCAAACCCCCTCAACAAGGGGCCCTTCCGTTAACAGGAGTTTCTACGTTAGGTATACACACCTGTTCCCCATTTCCCCTCTATGCTCTCTTGCTGACCACCCCAAAAGTGAGAGTCTGAGGCACTGCGGCTTTCCAGCTTGCTCCCGAGCCCTAACTGAGTGTCACCCTTTCCCACCCTGCAATCAGGAAAAAGGAAGGAAAAGAAAAACTCAGAAGCCTGAAGATTGTTTGGAATTTATTCTCTTAAATAAGAATATAACATTTGTTTTAAAAAAAATTAAAAGCACAACACCTTGGATTCACAGTAACGGCAAAAACAAAGTTACACAATTAAATTAAAAACTCACAAAGAAACACACCAAAAACTCACAACAGTACAGATTAAAACAAGAGCAAAAACAAAGGCTTCGGGAAGGCCAGGCGCGACGGGTAACGTGTTCCTTGGCACAGCTGATCCTCCCCTGCTCTGGCTCCTCTGTACCACTGCCGTGGGGGTCTGGCCTGCTGCCGTCCCCTTCTGCCCCCACCCTAAGCTGGACGGCTCAGGGAAAAAGTAAACCTTTAACTCACTGGTTAGATATACAAGGCCATGGTGCAGCCCCTTAGGAGAGCCGAGGAATGTTCTATGGTGCTGCAAAAAACAGCTGAAGACACACTGAACACCCACAGACAGTGGAAAGCTGAAATAACTAACGCAGGAGAGCCAATATATATAAAGCCTGAAGGCAAAACAGAGGGAGGTGGGGTGCTTAGTTCTCTGTGGTACCCCACTAAGCAACAGACCCCTGCTTCCTAGTTTGCTCTTGGGTCAATTTCGTAAGGTTAGGTGTGTGCTGCTCCTGTCCTGAGCACCCACCCCAAGGGCTCACCTTCACGGACTTGCTGCCGTGAGGCCATCACGCGCCCTCAGTGTCCTGACCGGAGCACAGGACGGCCAGGCACATGGTTCCCAGTGTTCAGCCCCCTCAGCCTCTGCACCCAAGGAAAAAGCAGTTTTGGAAACAGCTTCATTATTATTATTGTTATTATTATTTAGAATACAATATATAAATAAATATCTACTCATATATGTGCAATCAGATCTATATACATATAAATGTGTACATACATAGAAACATTCACACATCACCATCAACTATGACTTTGGGGTAGGAGAGGTAAGCTGGATTGCAGAATTCTCTTTGCTCTACTGAAAGGTTTTCCAGAAATAACTACAAAGGAAGAGGACTAAGGAAGCAGTAAAAAGATTTCCTAACTTCCCTCTATCAGGCAGGAACTCCGGGTTGAATGAAATTCCTTATATGGCTTGGCTATTCTTCTACCTGTGTCGGAAATGCCTGCATTTCCTAATGGCCCATTCAGGATCCAAACTATGGAGCCCATCGGCATCATGCAAGGGGGTCTGGGCACAAGGAGCAGGCAGCTGCCACTTGTGACCTGTGGCTTTTTAAGTTCAGATAATCTTTTCCACGAGATGACAGAAAACGACTGTGTTTCTTCCATCCTCTCTCTCTGTTGCCTGCATAGTGAATGTTCAGATGACGAATGCCCTGGGGGAAAGCTCTTCTGTTCCCTTCCAGTCACACCCCACAGCCTCTATGCTTCATTTTTAGTTATCAACTGTCTGAGATAAAAAGAGGATCCCTCTGGGTGAAAGAGAATCCAAAGAACCTGCAACTGAGGATCTCATGTCCAAGGGAAAACAAGCCCATTTGGGGTTTTTCTTTCTTTGCCTTATTGCTTTTTCTAAAGTCATGGCAGGTACTATCAGGTCAGGGTAAGAAAATCTGTGCCAGGGGCCACACATCTGCAGTAGTAAGTATAAGCTTGGAAACAAAGCATTTACAGATTTGAAAACAAAAAAGAGGATTTCTATATTAAAAGCACATTACAAACAAAAAATACCATAAACGATGTCTCCCAGACACTAAATTAGGCAGCAGTTACACATTATGTTACCAGAGAAAGACAAGACTTTAAAGCAGGCCTAGAGTGGGTTCTTTGAACTTGTGGGTTGTATTTGGGCTGTGTTTTTTTTTTTTTTGCAACAGCAAGAATTTTGGCATATGGGGCACACAGCAAGGTAGAATGCTACCACAGCTTTCCCAGCCCTTTCTGCAGAGGGATGTGGATCTAGAGAGGATGGGTGCATTATACACGACACAATCAAGTTCATTCATTTATCGTCTTTTGTGGTCTCCAGTGCAGTGAGGAGACCTACCAGATCTCGGTTAATAACTGTTCGCTACACACATTCTGGACCCTGGAAACACCTGAGCTTTTCTGAAGCTTTACAAAAGGAAATTCTAGTTAAGTAACTAAGGCTTTATTTTGGGATTTAATGAAGAAAATTTCTATCAAAGGATAAAAAGAAATCTATTTCATGCCAACTTAAAAAATACCACCCACAATTCTGTTCCTTTTCTACAGATGCTAGCAAAAACGAGTCAGCTCCAGTGCTTTGTTCAGGACTCAGAGCTCTAATTTCAAAAAGCTGAGGCCTCCAGAGGAGGACACTAACAGAAGTCCCTCAGTCCTAAGCTCTCTGGCCTTCCCTTGCCTAGAAGGTACCTTAAACTGGGGGGACAGCGCTTGCTTCATTCACCTTAAGGGATCAAGCTGCAACTCCTTTGGGACACCATATTGAACCCCCTGTGCTATACCAGGCAAGTCACCTTCTAGCACAGAACCAAGAACCATGGGGACTGAGATGTCCTCAGGGCTTTCTTTCTTGGTTGTTTTGATTCTTTAACCACACAGCCAACTCTCATGCTCTCCCCCTGCTTTGTAGAATATTCTCCTTCTCTAAGGAACCCTATTTTCTTTAGAACTCCTAAAACCCTGAAATCCATTATACCTTCAATTAGACAGTAAGAATGGTAACCTGAACCAGATGGGAAAGTGAGCAAACATGGCTTGTTCAGGAACAACCTGAACTTCATCATGTTTAAATCTTTTAAAAGAATGTTCAGTACTTCATACCCAAACGGAGAGTTTAAGTTCTTTGAGTTGTTTTACTGAGTAGTCAGGTTCCTTGGAAAATCCATTTCTGCTGGAATAAGGCCTGGACCAAGAAGGTGGTGCTCTCCCCTGATCAAATGCACACTCTACAGCATAGAGCCAAACTCTCTGTCTAGAAACCTTTGGTTATTTTTCTCTGCCGGTGATTCCCCCAATGCTCTGAGAGTGTTGACTGCAAAGACCTGTCAGCACTTCATAAGAAAGATTATAAAGATCTTCAAGACTGTAGAAGCTTTAAAAGTTATTCATGGCTTAACATGGCTATAAAATGTTGGTCCCAACTGCAGGGCACTTAAAAATCAGACTATAGTAAGGGCACATGTAGCAGATGCCGAGTTCACCTACCTCGGCTGAGGTTTGCTGTATCAGCCTCCAGATCACTGCACCCAGGCTGTACTGCCCAGCCTCTGGGCAGTTCTCCCTCTCCCAGAATGAACACCACAGCACTGACATTAACCAGCTCTTACAAATGGGAGAAGATGCAACTCTGAGAACCTCTCAGCGAAGGTCAAGGGGATAATTCTTCCCATTTCCCATCATGGAAATTCCACTACCAACTCCTCCTTGGTTTCTGGCATTGGCTGATAATCTTGAATTTTTACATGAGTTTGCAAGTGGTTGCTTGAGATATATTCATTTTAAGCCAGAGGAAAATGTGACCGACAGACATCGTGGCCCTTCTGAATTCCTCTCTTGCCTACACAGCAACCCAGGCTGGGAATGGTCTGGAGCTGCACTGGGGAGGCAGGGCCACGGCAATCTGTGGGCTGTGGATACATCTCATGGGCTGGTTTTACAGGGAGCCTAAAGAGGCTATTTTAAGGAAAAAAGAAACACAATTCTTCCCACAGGCCTTGTGCCCATAAGCTCCACTATGTGTTCTAAGCGTATTTTTAGAAGTAGAGATGGTGTCATTCACCTCCTGACAAAAGAAAGTGGTAATGGACGTGGGACGAATTAGGGCTTGATCTTCATTAGAAGTTTGAATGCCCTAGAGTGGTCAGAGGTCATGTCTTTTATGGGTCCAGGTCAAACAGAAGAGCAGTGACAGCTTATCCAGACTCCTCAATATGGAATGGGATGCAAGAATTTCAAGTTCAAGTGAAGGCATATCCAGACCATGGAGCCTTAACCATCACAATTCCCCACCCTGTTTCAAAGGAGTTTAAAAACAAGGAACCACATGAAGGCCTGGCAACTCTGGATACCCACTTGACTCAGTGGCAAGGGCAGCGTGTTCTGAATTCCTATTTGCCTTCATGGGATTTGGACCAGCCACCCCGATGTGTGTGATAGATATGGGATGGGGCAATAGTACTTTGAGACTTTGAATAAACATGACCCACAGCCTGGGCGATGCTGCTTACCAGATGGACCCTCACTGGCTCACAGTCTGCCAGTGGAACTCCCCTCCAATTTGTACCAGCACCTCTGACAGGCCATAGAGAAAGGGGACTCCAAATGCAAGCAGCTGGCACATGAAAAAGGAGTCCAAAGGATTTTGGGCCACCTGATGCCCAATTGAAGAAATGTTGCTTTGGAGGTGCTGGCTCATGCCCTTGGCCTTGTCACAGAGGCCAAGAGAGTGACGCACCACCCAGCCAAACAAGGAAGTGAGGCTACCTGGGGTTCTTTCAGCCGAGCTGACCACGGTGCTGGCCCGTCCATTTGCATCTGCAGTGGGGCCATCCTGCAGGGGTCCTTTGGCCTCCTAAGAAAGTCCATAAGAAAAAGAGTGACTCTCACTGAAGCACTCAAATCTCAGGCTGCAACGACAATGTAATGGGCTGGTTTGTCTCTGCTGATCTTACCAGGTAACCCAGAGCTGTATTCTTCATACAGTGTAAGTCTTTCTTTAAAAAAAAAAAAAAACAAAAAAACGAGGACATACTCCCCATGGAAGTCCTCAGGAGTCTGAGTCTAGATCCAGCTAAGTGTACCCCTTCCCATAAGTCCCTCAGTGAAGCCTCTAAAGGAGGCCTGAATTAGTTGTGTGCTGACAAGGTGACATCAGGTGGTAAAGGGCTTACTGGGCTCAACTGACTGGTAGAAAGCCACTCCAATAAAAAAAAAAAAAAGTAAGAAAGAAGCAAATTCTCAGATAAGTAACTCACAAAACAAGGTAACGCAAGGAGCTGATGGGCTGGGGATTAACACCTGCTCCCACCTGCCCCCAGACCCTGGGGTGGGGCTGCCAAGGAACAGGAAGAGCTCCTCCTCACACTGCCTCTTTTCCACCACTGCCTTCCTTGATGAGAGTCATAAAAATGAGTAGCCAGTTACCCTTAATAGCAGGGCATCCTTCTCTCAGAGAGATGCTCATTTACAAGGGCAAACATCTTTAATGTGCACAGAACAGAGGGGAGGGTCTACATAATCTCTCAAGTTCAGCTCAGGTGTCAGATGGAACATTACCTTAGTGAATTACAACATCAGAGCATACTGCAAAAGCTGGTTCCCTCCCCAAACTGGACCGCAACCATGTCTCAGGCCCTCGCCTCACAGGAGAGGCAGGGCTGCAAGGGCACCCACAGGCCCTGCTCAGGCACAGCTGGCCCGTGGCCACACCGCACTGGCGCCCACCACTTCTCCCCACTTACAGGATGGATCACCATTACCTTTCCAGACAGAGCAGCCACCGCTGGTCTCTTCCTCTGTGCATAGCCAGAGAGTCGGTAACAGTAGTGTGGTTTACAGTAGAATTTACCTGCAGATGACAGAAGCAAGGGACAAGGGAGTGAGCCAGACTCAGTGATTCTGAACACGACCCCGGGTCTCAGTCCCTCCTATCCCTCTACTCTAGCCACAGGAGGCCATCACCCAGCCCAGTCTCTTGTCCAGGGAGGTTGGTCCTTTCCTTCCCTATGAATGTTGATTACAGGCCCCCTGTCCCCTTGCCTCAAGGTGAGGGGGAGGGAGTCTTTTCCTTTGGGAATGAGAAGGCCACTGAGCTGTCACCCAATCAGTGCCCAGAGCAGAGATGTGAGGCTTGCAGGGCAGGGCCAGCGGACAAAGTGGCAGTGTGTGCAGAACAAAGATGTGGCCACATGAAAAATGGGGAGGAGCATTTCTGGGGAAACCAAGGATGAATACAAGTGTGGGTGGAGGCGTGAAGCCTGCAGGGGTGGACAATGCTGGGCATCAGCTCTGCTGCTCACCCCCTGCACCCACACACTCCTTCCTTCCCTACCCATGAGCCAGTGTGGGTGCAACTGCAGGCTATGATGCCCACCCCACCCCCGGCCCCCGACAATCAGGGTCAACATTGAAAACTAGTACAAAAATCAAAAAATCCTGTAATGGACTATGAGTAGAATGGAACACAACAAAATATAATAAAAACCAGAGCATACTGTGGCATAATTAGAGTCAAATATTATTTCTTAGCACTTTCAAGTATGTCTACATGTGTTTACTGGGTCCTACTGGGGGTGTGGCCAAAAAAGTCTGAATAACACTGTCTTGGCTTTTCCTAGGACACTGGTAGTGGAATTAACTCACAAAGTCATTTTATTCTGACTCTTTCTTTACTCTAATGTTCTTTTTTTTTTTTTTTGAGACAGAGTCTCACTTTGTTGCCCGGGATAGAGTGAGTGCCGTGGCATCAGCCTAGCTCACAGCAACCTCACACTCCTGGGCTCAAGCAATCCTACTGCCTCAGCTTCCCAAGTAGCTGGGACTACAGGCATGTGCCCCCATACCCGGCTAATTTTTTCTATGTATATTAGTTGGCCAATTAATTTCTTTGTATTTATAGTAGAGACGGGGCCTCGCTCTTGCTCAGGCTGGTTTCGAACTCCTGACCTCCAGCAATCCACCCGCCTCGGCCTCCCAGAGTGCTAGGATTACAGGTGTGAGCCACCTCGCCCGGCCTACTCAAATGTTCTTGAACATTAAATGATTACAGAAACTGTTGAAACAGAAGTAATCCCATTTTATCCTTTTCATTTGTAGAGAGTACTCCTTAGACAAATGAGCTTTCTTGATCACAAGCTAAAATAAGGGGACCTAACAGCCAAAGAAAGTGAAGATGAGATGGTATTCTTCCTTCTTCCTTTTCCTCCTTCACATGGTGATCTGATTCTTTCTTTTTTTCTTCAAAGTAGCTAGCTTATTTTCTCTCAGCTGAAATTCCCCTCCCATGCTGAATAAATCTGTTAAAAAAATTAAATTTATGGAATTCCATAGATTTTAAATAATGTTCATAATACATAGTATATTTTCCAAAACAGAATTTTCCACTAGCTATTGGCACTTAACTAGGACTCAGAGACACAACATCTGTAGTTAGGAACACTTGGTAGCCCAAATCAATCTTTTTGTTTCTTGTGAGAGGAATCCAGTCACGGGTTATAATTTTCAGCTTGGCCACAATTTCCTTTTATGATCTGTAATAAACCACTCTGCTTTTCTGAATTTTGGCCACCAAAACAAAATATATTATTAGTACTTGAATCACGTATGATTTCTTTTGGTCTGTTTGTTACCTCTTCCATGGGATTCTGATGGGGGCTATCAACCATGTGCCCTGACGCTACCCAGCCCAGAAGTGGACACACATAATCCAGGCTGGTCAGTCACTGTGCTGATTTTAGTCACATGCCAGTGACTAAAATCAGGCTGACCAGAGCCATTCTGGAGGGTCATTATGGCGGATAAGGGAGAAGGGCAGCCCTTCTCTGGAGACTGCTATCTAGAAGGAAGATCCATGACTCTAATGCTTAAAAGTCAATCTGACTTGAGCTTCTACAACCTGTAACCAAGAGTCTGGTTTATTACATTATCAGAAATATAATGTTATTTATACTTTCATTCCTTCCTTCTACTTTTTTCCTGCTTTTATTTGTTTTATGAGGTTTTTTTCTGATAAAGTAGAATCCCAGATTTTTTTTTTTTTTGGTGAGATAGTCTCACTCTGTTGCCAGGGTAGGCTAGAGTACCCTGGCATCAACATAGCTCACTGCAACCTCAGACTCCTGGGCTCAAGCGATCCTCCCACCTCGGCCTCCCGGAGTGCTAGGATTACAGGCCTGAGCCACCATGCTAGCCACAATCCCAGATCTTAAAATACAACTCAATTGAATTAAATTGAATCCTCACTGAATCCTGTGCTAGTATCCTAAATTAACAAATAAATCCCAGAGGTGACTGGAAAGGTGCGGGCAGCCCCACCAACAAGGTCGGCTCCCCCTGCCAAGTCCCGGCCATCCTGTGCGTGCTGCACGCTGAGGCTTTGAGGGGAAAGTCTCCTCAGTGAAGTGAGGAGGGGGACACTCCGCTTCAGGTATCGTGTGTCCCCAGGGGGAAGAAGGAAAGCTGTGGCTGCCATTTTACTATGATGATGTATCAGAGGATGACTTTACTGTATTTGAATAAATGTAGATTGTTGTACCGTAAAAAAAAAAAAAAGTCCCCTGAAAATAAGCCCTAGGGTTTAAGAAGACATTCTTGAGGAAAAATAAATATAAGACCCTGTCTTATTTTCAGGGAAACACGGTACCTCATAGGCTGAGATAATTACACAAATATCACATGTCATGTAGTATAGGTGCTTGATTAATATATCTCTTCATACCTTCTCAAACTCGACTTGATGACACTTTTTGCTTTTTAGATGAAAAAAAAAAAAAAGCTGATTTCTATCTAACATTTACCATATGCTAGACACCATTTTAATCACCACCCCAAAGAAGACAGACACTGTGATTATCTACCTTTTCCAGGGAGACAGAGAAAGACTGAGCAACCTGCCCAGAGTCAGCAAACCTCCGAGGCAAGATGTGAACCTAGGAAGCTGGCTCCAGAGCCTACACTTTTAGCCACTATCCTATCATGCCCGTCTCATGTTAGTAAATCTAGACACCCTGATGTTATAAATTAACTACAGATTATGGATGGTTCAGTGAGTGATTTTCATTGGTCTAAAGTAAGGAATCTCAATAATTAAATATGGGAGTGACTGGAAAAGGGAACTGGGGAAAACAGACTGCTACAGGGCAAGCCTAAGGTGAATGGGGCCATTCATTCATTCATTCACCATCTTACTGATGCCATGCTGCGACAGGTTCCAATCTAAACACTGAGAGTCTTCCAGGCAAGAAGACAGACAAAGCTCTCTGCCTGGACTGAGCAGATGATATGAGTAAGTATGAGACAGCAGTGCCCACTGTACGGAGGCTACACGGGTGGTGTGCCTCTCTGGGGAGGGAACATGTGGAGACGTGAATGACAGGAAGCCCATCCTGTGGAGATCGGGGGAAGTGCATTCCAGAAGACACAGCTGGGCAAAGTCCTAAGAGAGCAGTGGCTTCATCATGTTTATGGGATGGAAAAGAGACCAGTGTGAAGAGTGCAGTGAGCCGGGGCAGCTGACGGCAGGATGGTTAGGGTGGACGTGCAACGCCCTCTCCACTGGGACAGGGCTGCAGGCTCTGTCTGCACTGGCGTGGGTAGGAGATCGGTGAGATCTGACTCACACCTTTTAAGATCCTTTGCGCTGCTTTCAGCCATGTCAGGGGCAATGGAGGCAGGGAGGCCAGTGGTGCTGATGGAAGGCGCAGTGGCTGACCTGGGTGGCACTCAACAGAGATGGAGACGCTCAGGCTTGTCACTGCTGAGGACTACCCTACACAGACCACCTCGGCAGGCAGCAAGTTTTCTCTCCTCAAGCTGACAAGGACAGGTCTGACAAACTGTCTAATTTAGAGTCCTTGTCTTAAGAGTTGGCAGCAATCACAAATGAGCTAGTATTTGACAACAGAAAGAGTAGCTCTGTGTTTGAACAGACTGAAGGGAAGAACAAACAGTGACAAGGGTAAAACAGATACATCTAGAAGTTTATGATACTCACTTTACCAGTATGGAGTTGACAATGGGCCTAGAGCCTGTAATCCTCGAACCTCCAACCTCGACTGGATCTCAGAGGTCACATAAACTTGGACAAGCAACTTATGTTGCCTCTGAACTCAATTTCCTGACTTGTAAAATTACAATTATAAAAGCAGCTACCTTTTGGGGCTGTTATGAGGATGAAATGACGTGCTATGTGTTCAAGGGCCTAGCACAATGCCTGGATGACTTCCCTGCACTCATTTCAACCTCCCCAGCCTTTTCTTTTCTTATCTGAGTTTCTTCAGTTTTATTTCTGAATTACTTGATCACTTCAGTGCCCCTAAAGTTCCACTCCTGTCTCTAATCCACAATTCCCCAAGAAGGGCTAAGCTGATGAAAATTTTATCTGGGTCCAAATTTGGGGAGCTGGTTTAGACTCATTGTCCTCCCTGCCCAGTCAAGAATAACATACCACCCTTGTCCAGCCTCACCCACCAGCCTTGTGGCCACTCCTGTCTGAGCCCCTGCCGCCCTCTTGCCTGATATGCCACCTTTGCCCTTCTCTTAGATACCACATGCTTCTCTCTCCATGTCTAGCCATGGTCAGCTAGGTTACTCCAGACTGCTTTTGAACTTCATTGATTTCTTCTTCCTCTGAACTTCTACAAAGTTACAATCTAGACTGTGTAACTGAGCCCTATCTTATCCTCTTTTGTCTGCTACTGCTTCACGTGCACTGTTTTTCATTCCTGTCAGAACGGGAGCTCCTGGAGGCATACTTTACACTCCGCCTGTATCCTCAAGAGAAGGTAGCACAGATGAGCACACATCCACAGGCAAAAATACCTGTAGACCAGTAAGCTGGACCTTGGGGGATCTTCTTTCCATGCAGACACGCCTGGAAGAGGCTAATTAGAACAACCTAAGCACGAAGGGCGTGCACACAAAGGTGGGCAGGCTCTGTCCGCCAACCCCGATCCTTGCAGATCAAAGGCGCTTCCAAGGAGTAGTTGTGTGGGAAAAATGAAACAGAGGATTTGATACCTAACAATTTACCTTCCTTATCTAAACAACAGTCTTAATCTCCCCGCAATGCATAGAGGACCAGGTGTCACAATGACAGGTGTTGGCCCTTCTCAGTTCACTACTTTGGGCTCCTTTCCTGCTCCCTCTGACAGAGCTGCCTGTTTAGTCACTATTAGGAGGGCCTGGACGGCTGGAGTGACTAGGTCCTAATTGTCTGGTGTCCTCTCCTATGTGACATCACCTTACAATCTCCTCACAGTCAAGAAGTCACCTACCAATGTAAGGGACTTGAGACCACCCTCTGAGGATTTACTTTCTCTTCTATTAATCTAGGTCCCCTTATTACTCTGAACTCAGTAAGACTGTCTCCCATGAAGCCTCTTCAGGGTCCTGTAGGAACAGGTGCAGGAGCCACGAGTGCAGGGTCCTGTCATGGTGGGCTGCCTGCCTCTGCCCACCAGACTCTGTCATCTGCGGGCATCATTCACTACCTTCTACCCTATCAGTCTTTCCACTGTAAAAACCAACAAGTGTCACAAAAGACCAGGCCTGAACACCATAGCAAAGTAGATTCAGGCTCTGTGAAATGAGCTCTCAAGGCATCAGATACAGGACGGTGAGATGCTTATGCCAGAGAAAAGTGGTAACACCAGGCAATGTGCAGTTGTCTCCAACAGGCAGACGTCTAAAAACCAGGGGCCTAGGATCTAGTTTCAATTTATGGTCGTCAACCTTAGACAAGAAATGTGACTTCTACAGAGCTGTGATTCCCCTCCTATAAAGACCAGAAGACTTATCCTCATTGTGTCCTTTTTATCTCAAGATCCCACCATGAAGTCAGAGAGCAAGTAAGCATCTGTGGAGTCAGGGAAATGATACAGGCAAATGCATGCCATTCTCATTACCATCATTGCTGGGTAATGCTATGATACAGCTTGGCAACTTTGGGAAATATTTATAAGAAAGAGTCTTAGAGAAAAAACAAAGGATGGAAGGAGATGGATGGGAAGGGTTGAGGGAGGTAGAATGAAAAAAATGCACACAGAGGAATGCAGCAAGGGCTCCCAAGGTCCCCAGCTCAAATGGACAAAGTGCCTCAGACACTGTTTCTAAGTATGGCCTGAAGAGCAAGCCACCTCACCATCTTCAATGTCATAGGCATAGGCTGAGAGGCGCAGGGTGGTAGCGCAGTACTCGCACTTGAAGCAGCTCCGGTGGAAGAACTTGCCCTCAGCACTCAGCCTCTCCATCACGTAGACCCGCTTCTGACAGAAATAGCACGTGTCGCTGCCTCCCAAGTTCTGTGGGAACTCCTTCTTCATGGAGCCCTGCAGGAATGGGGAGGGGGAGAGGAAGGAGGGACACCTCAGGGCAGTGCCTCGCAGGTGCGCTCCCGCAGTTGCAGCCCTTTGTAGGTGAAGCTGACCCTAAGTGATTCTGTTCCATGACAGACCACGAGTATTGAACGCTGCAGTTTACTTTGTTCTTGGCTTTCCCAAAGAGCAGCGGCACCACTGCAGGAGCCGCATCCCACGTGCCTCCGGAGAGCACTAGCACAAGGTGGATTCAGGGTTAACCAACAGCCGAGAGAAAACCTAAGTCATTTGCTTCTGGTGAAAGACCCAAGATTACAGAATTTCAGAGCCATTAAAGCAAACTATTTTGACAGAATTCTGTTCTGAGAGTAGCGTGCGTGCACACACACGCGCGCGCGCACACAAACACACTCAGTTTTCAAATGATTCTACACATATATATGGGTCCCCTGGACTCTAGATGGATCACTTTTCCATACAACTTTCTAAACAACTATGGCAGTCCTAGAAATTCAATTATCAAAATTCAGACAACCTCCAAAAAATTACCACATGACATATACTGACTACTCAGAACAAACCAAGCTTGTTTGCCATAGCTGTGTCATGTTTAGCTAGGCAGTGCCCTTGAGACATCTCTTACCAGTTCCTTCTTGTCTAGAAGGGCTTTGGGCTGCTCTTTCCTTTGAAGCTGATTGGCTATCTGCTCAGCCAATGAGCTCACTCCGCCCGTGTACATCTTTATATACTTCTATTGGTTGGAGATTATAAAATGACCAGAATGAGGGGAAATGAGAAGGAAAAAATAAATAAATTAAGAAGACAGTGAAAAAAATCTTAGAAAGGTATAAAATGAATGAATATAAGGTGCAGCAGCAAACCATGCCAACACAGTGCTCACAAGCAGGCAACCCGGGTGGTAAGAAAAACACCGTGTCAGTGCCACACAGAGGCACCAGCATGTGTGGGAACAGCAGCTGCAGGGAAAAGTGTCTTCCTTAGGGGAGAACTTGGTCTTTCTTGTCTTTGTAGAATATACAGTTCCAGGAGGTTGGGGTGGGGGTAGGAAGACAGGATGAATACAAACAGAGAAGAAAGAAAGGCACACACCCTGGTGACTCAGATTACATTTAAAGAATTCAAGAGGAACAACCCCCATGGAAAAACAGTGGACGCCCAGACTGGCCACATGTTTCAAGGTATGAGAGACGGCTTGGGAAGCTATTTCCTCATTTAGAAAGAAACTAGGCTCATTCTTCCAAAGGCTGACTTTCCACTTAGGCAACATATGTCACTAACTCTAGTATTACCTGTAATAATCTCCTTCCTCATTATTAACACCTGATCATGACACCGTCATATGCAGCAACATTCCCAAGCTTTACTGGAAGGAGCCTTCTGAACCGATTCTCTCTACTGATCTTCAAACGTGGGTTTAGCGCAGCATTTTGAGGCCCATGTGATCCACCCAGGTGCTAAGGTCAAAGCCTTCTAGACTGGCTTGGACAAGTTAAACATGAGCTGTGGTCATGCAGACAAGTTGCTCACAATTAGTCCTGGGAAGTCAGAATGTATTTCTAGTCTAGGAGGGATTCTTTTTTTTTTTTTTTGAGACAGAGTCTTTGTTGCCCTGGCTAGAGTACAGTGGTAACATCGTAACTCACTGCAATCTTCCTGCCTCAATCTCCTCAGTAGCTAAGACTACAGGCATGCATCACCACACTTGGCTAATTTTTTTTTATTTTTTGTGCAGATAGGGTCTTGCCACGTTGCTCAGGCTGGTCTTGAACTCCCTGCCTTGGCCTCCCAAAGTGCCAGGATTACAGCATGAGAGCTACTGCACCTGGTCTATTTTTATAGGTTGAAAAATGATAAAAGAAAAAAAAAATCCAACCAACTCAATCCACTTTCTGGCAAAAGAAGTAACAGGTGAAACGGTCCACATTTCACCATGAGTCATCGGCTCATACCTAGGCTGGGTGTTTCAGGCAGCTAACCTTGAGCCTGTTCCCAGGAAGAAATCCTTTAGAGACTCCATGCCCAGGTCACCCTTCTACATGGAGATGACCATGGCACCTACTACATGTGTGCTCCTCTCAAGAACTTAGTGAAATAAGGGGCTCCCTGTCCGTGACTCTAATTCTGACTCAGATCTGCACTAGGAGCAGTTACCCTGGCAGTGCCAACAACCCCTTCAGGACAAGGCTTGAATGGACAAACATATAGGAGAATCACAGCCTTGAACAACAGCAGGGCCTAGCGGGGCAGGGACAGACAGCAGAAGTACTCTGAGGGGAGCCAGTGCTATGTAAATATGGGAACAGACACACAAGTGAGAAAACTATTTTTGTCTGGCTCAGCTCAGCCTCAACTGGAACTAAGGAATCAATTATATATTTTTCAACTCAAAAATAAGGAGATTTCCAAGGATTGATGCCATTTGCCAATTAACTTCACAGATTATGCCTATTAGTGGTTGAGAAAAACAAGTGGCTCTTAGATCCAAGCCTTCTTTAGATTAGGGACATTAAAGAAGCTTAGGCTTGGAACAGAAACACACCAGGCAGAGCTGAGCACATAATTTAATAGCTGGCACCAAGGGAGCAGAAAATTACGTTTCTTTCATTCTGCAGCAGATAAGTGAGAGTGTGGACCAAACCCCTCAAATATGAGGCTAGGACAGTGAGCAATCCCTAGGCCCTCACTGCTCAGCCAGGACCTGACCCTCCTGACCAGAACAGCCCCAGGCTACAAAGGCATTTGTCACATTCAGTTTTCAAAAATGTGGTAATACTGACAAGCACACCTCCAAGAGATGAGAAGACCCAAGAAAAGCAGATGGTTTCCTTCTTCCCACTCTTAAAACAGTCAAAGTGTAGCAATTGTTGCACTTATACTGTTGCATACCACCCACCCACACCCACTCACAGCCCCCCCACACCTACACCCCATGTGGTCTGGTACTGTCTCAAGAACGGGAGATAAACAAGATAAAAAGACCCTCCAATCTCTCTATAAACTCTTCTACAACTGGATCAGCGCTATTGTGGGCAAGAGCAGGGTTCATTCTTCAAATGATTACAAGTCAAGAGGCACCCAGGATACTGCACATTCACCACTCCATTTAAGAGATTTAATTATGCCATGGTTCATATTTTATAACACATGATTATGAAGACATTAGAAGTTAAAAAAGCCAATGGCTGAAAAATGCTTATCATTATTTGATATAGTTAAAATATGATCAAAGTGGGTTTACTTGGACAGAATCTGATGTGTTACACACAGTTCAATCAAAGCCAGCAGCCTCTTTAGCCAAGGTGTGTTCCCACAGGCCTCACACGCAAAACAGACACATGCACATTGGCTTCCTGAAGAGATAGGCCGAAGTCCAGAACTCTACAACCCACTCAGAGCAGGTGACAATTGTGAGAGTGAAGCGAGCGGAGGCTGCAGAGGGAAAAGTTTGCCAAGGCCCTGGCCATGCTACCTGTCGGAGGGAGTCGGAGGAGGGAGAAGCGGGGCGGGAGGAACGCAGGCTAAGAGAAAGCTCCCACTGGTCGACAAAAAATCGACGAGGAGGTTCAAGCTCTGGCTATAAAATATAAGATGGAGAAAAAAAATCAAAGGAAAGGTTAAAAGTCACATACCGACCCAAATATAAGCATAAGCAGCTCATTCATGGCTTCCATTTTGCTTTTAACTTCCCCTTCCCTAATGCTTACAGCGGAGTGTGCTCTGGAATAGAGACCTACAGCTGTGAGCCACCCAGCAAAGCCTCACCCAGTCTTGCTTAGTATTCTTACTCCAGTGACGCTCTAAAGTGGGTAACGCTGCCAGCCAGGAGACGGGAAGCACAGTGGCGTCCTGCTAACACACACACTCTCTGTGCTCTGCAGAGAGCCTTCTCCCTGGCCTGAGGCAGGATTTCTCCCGGGCAAACAGACTGTACCACCACCCCATCACTCCATTCCACAAGTAGCAGGCAGTAGAGACAGCAAATCTAGAGCGAAGTGCGTGTCTTCTACATAAAGGCCAGAAATGTGGCATCTCTTCACTCTACTGCTAGTGATCAGAGAAGCTCTGCTTGCCAAGGAGCCAGCTGAATCCCAAGCAACAATTAGTAGAAAAGACCTGAACTCCCAAGAGTCCTCTACAGGCTACACACAGCACGTGTAGCAAAAGCAGGCTAGGGTCTTCCTCAGTGGTGGTCCCATGCAGCCAGGCACTCTCCAGTCCCAGACAGCAAGAAGGCTGAAAGCTTTGGCAAGCAGTAATTGCTTAGTTTCCCACCAGGTTCAGAGCGAACTATCTTTAGGGTGTCAGGGACAGAGTTACAGTCATGGCACTAAGAAGCCCCCTGCTCTCCAGCTCCAAGCAGATCCGTCACACCCCCTACTCAGCTGCTCTTCCTTCACAGCTCCGTGGCATGTCAATATGAAGTGGCATTACCTGGTGCCTCTTGAGCCTCTGCTCCAGACACTCGGCCAGCCCACTGGCCCTGAGCTCAGCCCTTGGGGAGCAGTCAGCAACACAGGCCCCAGGGAGAGCTGGGGAAGATATCTGTAGAAGAGCACCACCCACCAAAAGGAAGCAAGAGAGAAGGCTGAGCATCCCCCTGGGGTGATGGAGCAGTCAGAGCTAATGGGAGAAGTGGGGGACTGGTGACAAGGTGGGGCGGAGAGAGCAGGCATGTGCACATGCAGGGCCATGGGGTAGTGGAGGGAGGGTCCTGGAAAGCAACATAAACTACGTCCCTCAAAAGTATCCAGCCAGGCACCGAGGAATCCAGAAACCAGCTCATAGGGAAAAAGTAAGAAAATCCCTGCATCTTTATTGCCTCCTAAGCTCAAAGTCCTACCCTTCTCGTATACACTACAGCCCTAGACTTCAAATTGTTCCTCCATGCCAATGTCTCCTTCTATTCCACATACTTCCCTCCCTTCTTCTTTTAGGAATTGTTTTCATTTAAAATCATCAGCACCTCATTAAATATGCATTCCCCAAAATGTAGGGCACTACCCTGCTCAATGAAAATGCCTACTGCCCCTTTTAGGAGGGATACAGCCTAAGGAGAAGGGAGGAAGAGGCCGGACACATTCTGTCTGCACCATGGAAAAGAGCAGCCCCAACAAGGGGGAGCACAGTGGAGCAGGGTCCCACCCTCCACCTCCACCCCGTTCTCTCCTCCCTGACCCAGCACCTGACCCTGGCAGCACATGGACTGCCTGTTGTTAGCTTGGTCACAGGGCACAGGAAGACAGTGCTATGACCAGTTTCCTACTGGGTGTGATGAGTGACCTAATTTACTGCTAACCCATAACTGTATTTCTCAGACAGCAAAGGCAGAAAAGGAGGTAAAATAAAGGCTTTTGTAAGATTAATAACTAGGATATAATTTCTTACCCTAGCTGCAGGCTATCCCCACTCTGAGATCTTCTTTAAAGGTAGGAATACCAACAACAAAAGTTTCATAAAATAAAGAGCCTCTTTAATTGAGCATCTCTGCCATTTATCAAATTATATGATGGCTAGTTGCAATTAGTAATTTCCCCCCTTAGTTGTTCAGAAGACTAAAGCTTTTCTTTATATATCCCCATCCTATCATCACCCTCCTTCCCATCAATCTCTTCATACGTCAAAAATCCCCACACTGATAAGAGCTTTGGCTCTCTTAGCATTTCTACATCAAGATCTGTGACTGTCAAATGCCGCCTGCTTACTGACCTAGACCCATCTCTTAAGAAGCTGTACCAGGCAGTCCAATGCTCTTCAACCACTGGCATATATTTTGGGGGTAGAGGTAGTATAGTCTTGGAATGGGAAAGGTGGGCAGAGATGGGAAGTCATGAGGCCCTCTATAGTAGCACACACACATACAATAATAATAATAACACACACTTACAATAACACATCCACCTGAATGCCGGGTAGATGATGCTCTATAGTGAACGCTACTTGCAGGGGTTAACACTGCTAGCAAAAAGAATTCTGGCTCTTGGCTAGGTGACAAGAACGTGCAAAAAGCAAAGGGAAAGGGGCTATTCCCCATGCCCCCTTCCCTCTGCACACCCCCACCCCCTCACGCGTGCCCCATCTGCTTGGCTCTCAGCATCCCATGCCATGGGTTCATGCTCTTTTACCCTCTCATGTCGGGGACTCTGCTTGCCATGGTTGTCAGCATCAAGATCCCTGTATGTCTGTTGGCAACAAAGTAGAAACTTAAGCTCCATCCAAATGCTCTATGTGGACCTACTAAGTGATAGTGAAAAATTCAGGGCCAGAAATTCAGAGTTCATTTCAACACATACCCCTGCCCCTACTGACCCCCACCCCACATAACCATAATCTCGTATATGTCAAACACCATGACCCAAGGACAGCTGTCTGCACAGCCAATCCACCCACCTGGTCAGCTCACAGATAAAGAACAAACTATGGTTAGTACAAAGGTGGAACGAACATACTTCTTTCACACAGTGGCATAAGATCAGAGGTGTTAAATGGAAAGTTTAGAAAAAGAGTCAGGTTAAAAGGGTCTTGCTTTCCACAGCAAGACACTAGAAAGGAAAGGTGGGGAGACAGACACTGGTAGAATAAAAGACCATTATAACAGTCCAGAGGAAACTGCAGGCTGGGGAGTGGTACCTGAACAGGAACAAAGGAGCAAAGCATAATTTATTAAGGGAGAAGTGGACAAAGACTGGGAGTGTCCTGAGCTGACAGACAGGAATATGTAGGTGAGAGATGAAATCCATAGGCACACAGCTTCCTCGCTGATCTGATGAAACCACTAACACAGCAGTCACGGGAACAGGAAGACCACTCTCATCACTCTTCAGAGAACTAAGGGTTCACCTTAGCCACATATGGCTGGAAAAACTGATCCGAAGCTTTTGGTGTGGCTACTCTTATCTATTATCTCTGTAGGCAGGATGAGGTCAGAGCACAGGCTCTAGGGTCACATGACCCAGAATCAAGTCTGGTTCCATTACTTGCTGTGTGGCCTCGTACAAACCACTTGGCTTCTCTGCCCTATGCCTCAGTCTCCTCATCTGTAAAATGGAGATAATAATAGTACCTGTCTCCCAGTGTTTTGAGAATTGGTTGAGATAATACATGAAAATACATGAAAAGAACTTAGATTATTGCCTGGGTCATAGTAATTGCTCCTGTTTTTTAACTCTTTTCAAAGGCCAGGCATAGCACACTTACTAAGCCTATCGTGGCTAAGTTTTTAGACCCAGGGACACAGGTGGGCCTTTAAAATCAGACATGTTACTAGTGGCCACCTTTTTAAAAGGCCACCTTAATTGAGAAAATGTCTTTCTATAGCTCTTGCCCTTGAAATCATTAATAGCATTTTATTTTAGAGGAATATACTACAAAGGTCCACCAAAGCCATTCTATAAATATACTTTATATAAATGTGCCTGCCACAAATGGACACTTGCTGTCCTCCTTACCCACGTCTGTGGTGGACCACTCTAAAAGCAGTTCTTGAACGATCTGCCTGGAGGGTGAGTGGTGTGAACGAGGAGGGGCTGCATGGGCAAGGGGCAGGGCGCTCAGAACCAGAAGGGCCAAAACTCATGTAGTGAAGCCTCATAAGAGCTCCCAAATGCCAGTGTTAACCGCACCTCTTTGGGCAGCAAGAGAAAAATGGCCAGCCTTACATGAGGTTTTAGAAAAATGTGTTGCTCTTAGAGCTTCTGGGCCTTCGATCTGTGACAAGTAGTGTAAATTATAGTTTAACTTTTAGTTTGTGATTGCATGGTGCTTCTGCTACACACGGTTTCCATGGATGGTCTTTCTTTTTATTTATTTTTTAACAGTTATCACTGAAGAGACTAAATGCTGATTTGGTGTCTACACTAGCCATCTACACAGGCAGGCAGGAAGACGCAGACAAGGACAATAGAGCATGCAGAGAAGATCACCTGCTGGCTGTCAGGTGCCCGACAGGGAGGTGGAGTAGGGAGAGGAGAGAGCGTGATCACTTTTTTGGGGCAGGTCCGAGAACGCTCCTTTTCCCGTCGCTTTTACACCAACAGACAAACAGAGAGAACATTGTTGAAACAGTGGCCATGTTTCCTCCCAGAAGGCAGGTTCTGGGAGGACTGAAGGGGATTTGCCAAAGTGCCCCAACAGGCCCCTTTCCTTGCCCCACCATCCTCAACAGCAAACCCCTGTGCTGCCAGAGAGGGTGGCCTGTCAGTTTCCTGGCCCCCAGGTAGGATTATACCTTCTGTTAGGCACAGACGCATACGTCATCTATGTAGCTGGTTAGAACTTGCAGTGTAGTACTTTCCAGATGCCAGGGATCAAGGGTTTCATCAGGGAGGTTGGGGGACAGAAGAAATGGGCTTGATTATGAGTGGAGCAAAAGGGTTAACAAGCCAACCACCATAAGGTGACACAGAGGCTCCCTCCCACGGCTTGGTCACATGTGTCCTCAATGCAGAGCAGCATTGCTCTCTTCTCAGCCCTGCACACACATTCAAAAGGTTCTGGAAAACCATCAAGGAAATATAAGAAAGTATAGGAAACAGGATAGAAAAATTAAACATCTTTCCTTAATGGAATGCCATTTACATGTTCATGTCTTATCTTCATTCTTCCCCCTCTCTCTTGTACATCCTTCCTTGGGAGTCTGCCTCTGATTCAGAGGGCCCCTCTGCACTGCAGAAATAATTCCATGTCCCTAGGCCTCTCTGATCCCTTCCGGGGGGAATTCTCACTCCCTGGCCCGGATGGCTGTGTGGAGCAGGTCCAGGTAAGGCCCAGGAGGGAAGGAGGCTGTGGAAGCCATGAGGCCTGGGGAAACAGCTCTGCTGCTTCTTCCCAACTCACATGACAATCTACTTCCAAACCAAGGCTGGTTAATGCATTGCTGGCCTTCAGGACACATTTCTGAGATCAAAAGGCAAAAAAGTGGGGAAGGGAAGAGCCACAGTGTCGACAAAGGAAGGTAAAAAGAAAAGTCATTGGCAGGCAGAGTAATTCATTTCCCTTCTCCACACCGTGACCTAAGCTGAAACTGGTCCTTGTGCCAACTCTGCCATCACTGCTGTGCTTGCCACATCCTCCTGTCCCTGTCTGAACCACTTCAAGAGGAGCACAATGTGAGTCACAGTGAGGTGTTGCCAGCCAGCCCCCACTCCTGATGGGAGACACTGGGGCCACCCATCGGGGTGTGTCAAAGCAGGGCCCTGAGCATCACTGGAGTTCCTCTGTCCCCAAGTTTCTGAAGCACCTGGCAGTGCAACTCCAACTCTCTTTCAGGGGATAGATTTAGAAGGCAAAGATTCATGATTTAGTGCTCAGAAAACATTCTGTGTGAATACTGTACATTTTACTTGGATGTAAGAACTATGAGTCAGGGTTCACAGTGCTATCTCCCTGCAGCTGCCTAAGTTCACACTTTATATAACCCAAAGCACCTGAGGACCTCATAGGATATTCACTGTGGTTTCTCACCTACCAAGCCTCATTCATATACCCACCCAGTGACTCTTTCTAACTGCCATCTCTGGGGCCCATTTCGTAGACATAGAACCTGTATTTGACTTCAAGGTTCTATTCTGCTGCCCCTCAGCCTGGCAGTCTTTTGCTCTATTGACTGTGATCATGATCACCCAGATGACAAGCTGCCTTGGCTGGGACTAACAACATTCTCCAGGGAGTTAGAGGCTACCAGACACTTAAACAGGAGAAACACAGCAGTCCCATGAACACCAAGCCCCTGGAACCCTTTCAGTATAGCTCAATCAGATGAGAAGCCAATGTGTGACTCATCATCAGGACTGAGGCCTCAGGTTGGCTGGCTGAGGACACACCTGCTACCCGAGAGTCCCCAGCAAGCCCCCCGAGAAGCTGCTCCAGGCACATGCCACCCTGGAGCATCTGTTCACTCACTAGAGTGTATTACTCCTCACCTCCCTTCCCCTCTGCTCCTCCAATCTCAGGCAACCTTTATGAACATCATAGGAGTCTAGAGTTTTTGTAATCTAGTTTAGAGTTCACTTTCCCCTTCAACAGATACTCAACTAAAGATCACCTTTCTAATCATACCTTCCACCTAGACTTCAAGGCAAAGGGTAAGAAAATAAAACCCAAGTAAATTTCTGAAGAATTTTTTTCAGAAGACCTCCTCCAAGCCTAGGGAAAGGGGAAGCTTGGCTTCTATTGTGAATTTGGATACTGCTCCCAAAGTTCCATCTCTCCTTCATGGGTCCTGCCTTTAATGTGGTATATTACTATTATTTAATTTTTTTAAGAGACAGGGTTTTGCTCTATTGCCCAGGCTGGAGTGCACAGGCCAGATCATAGCTTGCTACAGGCTCGATATCCTGGACTCAAGTGATCCTCCTGCCTCAGCCTCACGAATACCTGGGACTTTAGACATATATCGCTGTGCTTGGCTAATTTTTTTGCAGAGACGGGGTCTTGCTATGTTGCCTAGGCTGGTCTCGAACTCTTGGACTTAAGCAGTCCACCTGCCTCAGCCTCCCAAAGTGCTGGGATTATAGGCATGAGCCACTATGGCCAGACTAATGTGGCATATTAATCAAAGAATAGTTAGAAAGGAACATTTTCCCTGAATATAATTTCAATAAAATTCAACTTGCCACTCTCCAGCACCTGCTGGCAGATGACACTTTATGGTACAACAGGCTGGCACAACCGACTGTAAAAGATGCTGATGGAATCAAGGATCAACTCATCTGACTGCTCAGCATCGTGGAAGTCCTCATGATATAAACCATGACACAGCCTACACAGGCTCCACTCCCCACAGCAGGGACTTGCTCAAATGTGACACGGGAGAAAACATAGTAGTGGCCTCCGCTCTCCCTGACTGGTTTTCTATCATACCAGGTGCCATGCCATCATCTTCCCTATTCAGCATTGCTTAGGATAAGCAGTTTTCCAGGAGATCTTACAACGGTTTTAGAGAAAATTCCCCCAAAGAGTATTTTAAATGTAGAACACCAAGAAAATGCCCATGAAAACCTTTGTCCAGGATTTGAAACAAATAAAAATCAATAGTTCAAGACTATTTTCTTGGATAACATTTTTCTATTTAATGTGAAAGGTTCTGCTGCCCCAACTCTCAGCCTTGACTGAGTCAGGATTCTCCCTCCAACGGTCACGAGGAGATTGCTAGCAAAAAGGCAGCTTGAGAAAAACAGCAAAACCCCAGGGGCTGAGGTACCAGAACAACTTACCACATAGCTTAAGCTAGTTCCACACCAAATTAACAATACACTCTTTATTGAATCCAATCAGCACTATCTGTTAAATGTCTACCCAGAGTCACTATTTAAATGAGCGCAGAGACCTCCTGCCCTGTGAGCCAGGGTTCTAGCATTCAGGTCTCAGCACTGCCTGGCTCAGGAGGAGGAAAGGGGTAGGAAGGCCTGTGCAGGCACCTGGCAGCTCCTTTACCTGTTTCCACCGGGGACTGGGAGCAGGGCGACCCTGCTCAGGCAGGCAGCAGGACGGCTGGCTGGCCCAACGCATTTGTGTCGGCTGTGACACACGGGCCAAGTGTGGGCAGGGACAGGACATGGAGACAAAACAGAATAAAATAGGTCAAAGTGGGAGAAGACACTGGTACTCATGGAAGACAGACACACATCTGTGAACTGTGGGGGAAGGAGGCAGAATCAACTCCGACAGAGTCACACAAAGGGAAGAAAACAGGCTTCCCTCTAAACTAAAAGCAAGAGGCAGAATCAACTCCTACAGAGTCACACAAAGGGAAGAAAACAGGCTCCCCTCTAAACTAAAAGCAAATGCCAAAAAAAGAGGAAAACTGGAGCTGTGATTCTCGTTATCCTTATCCCTAACTCAATGCTCTCTGAGTCTAAAGTACCAATTCTGATTTGGAAAACTAATTCTTCCACCCAAAATGAGGGAAGCACCCTTCCTCTAACAAAGAGCATTCCTGCTTTCCTGAGGGGGGCTGGACTTGGGGCTGCCAGAGACTCCAGGCAACCTCAACTGTCAACACGAATATCACCATCTTTTCCGTGAGCCACACATGAGAAGATTGGAGTGCAAAGACTATGTGAGAAGAAATTAATTGTGCCAGACTCCACGCAAAGCCCTCTCCCCCCACCCACAGTCCACAGGAATGCTGAGTAAGGAGGAGAGAGGGGAAGGAGAGAGGGAAAGAGGGGGAGAGAGAGAATGCAGAGAGTGACCTGGCCTCCAGCTGCTCTCCCCAGTCATCAAGGAGTTTTACAAGAAACTTCCAGTGTGAATTTCAAAACAGCCTCTCTTCTTATATGAAGTCTGAGTGACTTTTTAGACAACCCCTAACAAAGACACCTCAAGTCAAATGCTACTGCCTAGAACCTCACATAGGACTTATGGGAGTCCCATTTACCCAGAAAATTCATATTCCTAGCAATATCTCAGGAAAATAATCTGCAACACACAAAAGAAACTTTATTGCAAGAATGTTTACCTCTGTATTTTATCAAGAAATATGAGAGACAACTAAAACATCCAACACTAGTGCAACAGTTAAGAAAAGCATGATATCGCACATTTCAAAAGAGGCTTGCAAAGAGTTTGGAACAACATGGGAATATGTCTAAAGATAAATGAAAAAAGCAGAAGAGAAAGTGTATGTTAAGAATGACCTGAACTATAAAAATAAGAAAGCACTTTTAAAAAAGACAAGAAATAAGCAAAATATTAACAGAACTGTTAAGTGCCTTAACTACCTTTATTATACTTTTCAACATTTTCCTTCATAAGCATGTACTTTTTATAATTTAAATATGTCTGTGTATACATATGTGTAGATACATAGATACAGACTTATGTGTTTTACACCCCTCTGATGATTTTTGTCACAGACACATCAGAATGTTGAGGACAAAGCAGGCCTGAATGTGTAGGCAAGCTTCTGAAACTCCCTTCACCGCCCTGGTCAGACAAGGGGAAAGCCAGACATCAGTCATGAACCCATAAACCCTGGGGGCCATGACAAAGCCCATCTCACTTGACTCTAAAGTCCGCTCCTTCCGTGTGACCTGACCGAATGTGGACAGGTGAAGTGTGAGATGGGGCTTACCTGTCTCCGTATGCCAGTGGACTGCACAGGTGCATTCTCTTCAAATTTGGCCAGCAGCTGTGTCGCCATGTATTTCACTTTGTTCTGGTTCCCAATAGCAACATCCATCCTCCTGTCCGTCAGAGTGCTTACCAGTGTCGGTCTTTCTCCTCTGTGGCCCCTGGGAGCTTCCTCCTGAAGAACACCAAGCACCCAAGAATCAGCTCTTTTACAGGAGGCTCCAAATGTTCTTCCCTCAAAGAAGAAGTGTGGTCAGGCCCTGGCACAGTGGCTGGTAGTTTGGCGTTAAGTCAAGCTCAGCAGCTCTCTTCAAGGTTCTAATGTACACATGGAGTCAGCAAGACTCTGGTAAACACGGAGGTATAAAGAGGTCTCAGACTGGTGCTGGTATTGTCATATCCCAGAAGAACCATTAGGCTTTGTCAAATGTGGGATTCCAAAGAGACAAGAAGGTCTGAGTGCACACGTGTATGTTCTCTGAATGCTTTCTAGAAAATTAAACAAATGAAAAGCCCAGAGAACAAACACCTGGCCTCAGAAATTCTCATAAAGGACAAATATGAAGATCTAGCAATACCAATGTGGAAATTAAGGATTTAAACCAAAAGGGTACAATTCAGTATTATTATCATCATTCTAACAAACTCCAGATGAATCTCACCTCCTCTGACTGACTGGTCTTTCTCCTCTTTCCAGCACCATCCAAGTCCTTTTCCTTTTTATCCTATACCAAGAGAGGAGGGAAACTGTTATTCTAGTCACTGTACCTTTCCATTAGCTTTGTAGCCAGTAAAGGCTTCCTCCACATACCTTGGGAGAACGCTTCCGAGAGATGGTCTGCCCAAGTTTGCTTAGGAAGGAGATGGGGGATTTGGTGTTGGCTATCAAGACTGCTTTCTCCTCGGCATTCAGGTCCAAGGTGTCTGTGAACAGAAATCAGCGATGTTCAAGGACAGCCCTGGAGGGTGCCAGAGTTCTGACCAGAAATACTCTCCCTTGCAGGTGGCTCACAGAATCTCCGGAAGCTCCCAAGGTTCATTGGCTATGACCAAGCACGTGGATCTCAGTAGGGAACTCTGCAGAAGAAACCACACTTGGGTCTACACGGGGAACCTTCTCTTTTCCATCCACATAAATGAAAATAACTCTTTCCCCCAATCTACTTCAGTTACAAAAACCTGTGCTTTTACTTTTCACAAGTTGGAATCTGCCTGGGATCATTAGTTACAGCACAGTGTTGAAGCCTCACCTTTGTGACAAAAAACTTCAGGACAGAGAGGGAGCGAGAAATCAGGAGTTAACTTGGAATCTTCAGTTTTGGTACATGCAGATGCCATGCTCTGAGCTGCACACGAAGGGGCTCTCCAGGAATGGGCATAGTAATGTTAGAGTTGTGGATTTCTGTTGTAAGAACTGCACACCTAATCAGGAATAGCCACAGATGCCTATAAAAGTACACAAGCTAGAAGGCACTGGAGGGCAGTACCATAAATTTTGTGGATTCCAATGTTTTACTATTAACAAAATTTTAAAAATAGTACTTACTAATAAATTGCTAACATTTATTAAGTGCTTCCATTTGCCAAACACTCTTGTTAGCAGATCACAATGTAATTATACGTATCATCCCCATTTTACATACAGGGAAACTGAGGATCAGGGAAATTTAGTAACTTGCCTAAGGTTGAACAAGTGGAAGTACTGGGATATAAACTTAGGTCAGACACCATAGTCAATACTCTTAGCATTATGCTACATTTACTCCAAAGGACAATTAATGACAATAGAAGCATTTTTCATAACACTGTGACAGGCAGCAAGCTAAGGGAAAATCTGCAGGAAACACTAAGAGGTTAAGAGGAGAAAAGAGAAGCCAGAGGAGGCATGGTTACAGAAGGAAGGAGGAGAACGAGCCAAGTGTGGCTCAGGGTGGCAGCTGAGAAGAAAAAGGACATCATTCCACAGTGATGAACAACGCAGAAAAGCCAAGTGCATGAGCAATGAGAGATGAGAAAAGAATAGAGTTGGTGATTCTTCCTGACTGTAGAGAACAGCTTCAGTAAAGTGGCACAAAGGGAAGCCAGGTTACAAAGTGTTACTAAGTTTAGGCCCTGAGGAAGTGGAAGCCACAAGCACAAACCACTTTTTCAAAAAGGCTGGTTCTGAGAGAAAGGGTATGAAAAGGAGGTAGAGTCAAGGAAAAAGATTTGGGGCAGGAATGATTTTTGCATAGTTACAGATTCAGTGAGAAAGATTTGGGAAAGAATGAGAGGTGGAGAACATATTATTAGAGAAGGTAAAATAATAGAGAAAAGTTCCAGAGATTTTCCAGGATGGCCAACCAGTAAAAACAGTCAGCTTGTGTGTGTTTGGTGGCACTGATGAAGAACACAGTGGGAAGGAAAGAAAAGCCAGGTCACAACACAGCAGGCCACAGGGGCTTCTGTACCAGCACTGCCCAGGCCTTACCACTGGAGGGGAGTGAGTCCTTGAACATCTCGTAGAACTGGGTCAGGTACATCACCATGGATAGCTTGTCAGGCTCCCCCACGGAGGCCATTTCTTTGCCTGTCATGATGGGAGAAATGCCCAGTTCCTTCTCAGCAATATCAAAGGCCAGTTGGTTATTCTTCTCCACATTTTGCTCATCCAAAGAATCAAAATCTCTGAGAACAGGATGAGAAAAATGTATCAAGATGGGTAGACTATCCCCAAAGTGGAGAACATAGTATCATGGAGTCATCATCGCTTCCCAGTCAGTCTTTTGGCTAAAATTGACTTTAGCCAAAAGTCAATGCAGTGCATTACCGAAATCTGACCGCAAATCTGTTTATCTCACCTCTTCTCTTTCCTTTTATTAAGGAAATACAGAGCATCCTCAAGAAAAAATGATTAAACATCTACCCAATAAAAGAAAAAAGAGGGGAAAAGTTGAAAAACTCCTTTCAATTTTCCAGTAACACAAATTTCTTACTAAAATATAAGCTCAGGAATTGGAAGTATCTTTAATATATATGCTCTTGTACCTTGCGTGTGGTACATATTAAACTTATGTCAAATAATGACAAATATCCTATTTGGATCAGACTGCTCTTGAAGACCTAGGATTATCACCGCCATGGTTACTGGACCTGACAAGCTGTTGATGTACTTAATCAGCTCTTGTAAATCTTATTCAGCCTTCTTCTTGAGGGGAAATTTCAAAACCTTCCTCAAAAGATTTTTCCATTGCTAAATTTCCTGAGTTTTCCCAAGTATTTAGATTAACAAACATGTCCTACTGGGTTATTCCTTGCTACTCAGAGTAAGAACTAATAGCATTGTTCTTTAGGTGATTTCAGGGTAACCTGGCAGTCCTTATTTTGTATTAACCTACTGACACCATAGCATTTTCTTCAAATTCCTTTTCTGTGTAGGTTAAGCCTATTAAACTATGGAGACTCATCCTAAATGAAGTCATTATAGTCTAAACAGTGCCAATTACCTCCCCACTGCTTTCTGTTCTGCTATGAGTTCATTCCCCTAGACCTCCTCTAGGCAGCCTGGTCTAACAGGACATACCTACTCTTGCCTCCACACTTGCCCTCCATCCAATCTGCACCCTCAACTACCTTTAACTGCATCCTCTTTTTCTTGCCTTGCCTTTGGAATATGCTGATTCACTTGGCCCCATCCTCTAAAGCACTTCAGTGTCACTGAGCACAATCTTTCTCAAGCTGCCCCACTTCCCCCAACCCCATTCCTCTGGTGGGAGTGATAAACCCCTGCTTTCATTTACCTTTTACCAACTCTGGATGAGCTAAGGCACTTGAACACAGGAGGTCATTTACCGTCACTCAAGCATATCAGAAATCCCCATTGTTCATCCACACCGTGCAAGGCTGTTTTTAGTAGCTCTTGTCTCATTAGCTTATGACCATCATAAAAATAGGGACTATGTCTTTTAGAATTCCTTAAGCAATCATTTAAAAAAAACCAAACAGATACTAGGCCCTTAAGTGGACCTAATGATAAAAACGACAAGCGGCCAAAATAACTCAACATGCTCTGCTTCTGTTTCTGAATCTTTTTGTTTGGCTTCCATGGTAACAAATGCTGATGGGGGAAATCTGAGGGCACTGGTCCCTGCAGCTGGCTTGGGGTCCTCCTAGTGACTGATTCTGTAGACAGGTGAGTAGGGAATGGCCAAAAGAGATGTTACCGGTATAGGTGGGTAACATGATGAGAGTTTCATGGACCTGATAGTGCATGTTTGCAAAAAGTACAGTCTTTAACTAATGCCAGTGAACCATCATAAATAGGGGAAGTAGTCACTGTTTTTTGTTTTGCTGGTAGTGACATATTTGCCTTGAGCTAGCCAAATGTTCTAGCCAGGTTTCCCTTGTGATCGAGAGAGTTTGAGAGATAGCTGGCTGAATCGAAGAGTTCAACTCAGGGCCAAGAAACAGTTTTCCTTTGTGTGAATCTAATAGGCACAGGTTGGTGTTAAAACCAGTCTTTAACTTATGAGTGCCATGATTTCAAAAATTCACCTGATCATTCCTGGGTTGAGCTATATGATGCATGACATATGACATTTATAAATATAACTAAATCAATATCACTGCCTTCTGGAGGAAGTATCTTACTATGTGCCTTATTCTAGGTCGGAGAAAGGACACAATTTGGCTACTTGATAGCAGGGTACTCTGAGATCTTTGGGGAATATAAAATAAAACACAAAGTTTGGTCAGGACTTACATCAGATCAGGACGGTATCTGTGGATAATTGCACAAAGGGCCAAACCACTTTTCCAAGACATGGTGAGATCTGTCACATTTACCCCTGCATAGCCATCCGTCTGCCTCTGACACCAACCCAGCAGTTTGCTTGAACGAGCTACAGACTCTGAAACAACAACAATCATTATTGGAAGTGTGGTAACCACCAGATATAGGATTCTCTCTTCAGTACATATTATCCAGTGTGAAAAATTACTGAGGGTAGGGACAAAATAGTTATCACTAGATCTCAAAAGAAAACAGTGAAGAATAAGGTTATGTAGCTGGTATCATGATAGTGCTATTATAGATAGACAAGAAACTACCAATTTATCCAGACTCTAAGGCCAATGACCACTCCCCTAGCAGACTGATAAATCACACTCAAGGTGGTCTGGACCTGACCGAAGCCCAGTGTCCCCGTGGCACTGACGGATGCTGACTTAGATGGAAAGTGCCACCTACTGAGCGATCACCCCCACTTGCAACCGTTCTAGTATTTCCCTGGAGAGTTGCTTGGCAAGAGCCTGAGGAAGGCTACTTTCCCTCCAAAGTAACAGATAAGAAAAGGTTCCACTCTATCTAGCAGCACATTCAACCAAAAGTAAACAAAGTCTTGCTCTTACACTTTCCAAGGTAGCAAGCAATTTGCCAAGTGAAGAAATTCTGTAGAGTTATTACACTGACAAAGCCGGGAACCCCAGACAATCCCCTAAGCCCAAGTTTGGTACCTTGTATTATAAATTATCACATTTTTAAAAACTGAATAGGCAAACACATGTTTTACAGTTCCCTGATATCTGTTCTAAAACCCTTACAGGCTTTATAGCAATCTTTTTTTAAAATTACATCAGAAGATCTCTGATGCGCAGCATTGAAGAGAATCTGTGAACTCCTACTTGTGTCCAAGAAAGTCCGTTTCCTTACCTAAAGCAGCTGAAAATATTTAGCTTTGTGCTAAGTCATTTAGCGATTTATGAACATAAGATAAAAAGTGTATATCACAAAAATCCTGTTTAAGTCTTTCACAGTGAAAACGTATCCTGAAACTACAGATAGAACCACTTCTAGTGCCATCTCTTGGCTCAGAAATTAACTTTATTCAGATGCCTCTAAAATCTGTATATCCAACCATACAACATGTATTGGACAACTTCAGTATTCCAGGTTCTAAAATAAGAATATTGAATAAAGATGGTTTCAAGGAAAGCTTTCAAGGAAATGACGTCCCAGTGGAAAAATATGAAAATGTTTCCAACTGCCTGTTGGTCCTTATATCCATCCTGATATACCAAAAACACGTCAAATTCAAAATGTCCAAAACAGAACTCAAACCTTCTCTCACACCTTCTCAACTCTCCCCTGCCTTGTCTGCACTGATGCCGCACCATCCACAAACACCTGCCTCTTACCCCACAGCTGCCCATACCTCCTTAATATTCTCTCACATGATTATCAATGCCAACGACCACCCTAATATGCCAAGCACTGTAATAAGTGCTCCCCACAGTCAAAGAACCCTCATGATCACACCCCTATTTCACAGACAAGGAAACCCAAGGTCAGAGATATTAATCATCTCTTCAAGGCCACACACCTCACAAATGGCAAAGCTTGGACTGAGACTCAGTTGCATCTGGCCCCAAAGTCTGAGTTCTTCTCTACCCACTTCTCCCTTCTCCACCCCCAGCTTTAGGACCAGATTTGGGATTTTCCCACCTTTAGCTTGACCACCACAGTGCATTTCTAACTCATCTCCCTGCCTCTGGCACTTCCCTTCTCCAGTCTTCTTACATGCAACTGATCAGGTGTGCTCACTTCACTCTGCTTCCACATCTTCAGTACACACAACATACGGAGTGGGCTTCATCTTCGTCATCGAATCTGGGCAGCCACAGGACCCAGCTAAAATGCCACCAATTCTTCTGTAAAGTCTTTCCCCAAAACCTTAGCTCTCATGCTCTTCTCCTCTCTCCCCCCACACCCTTTCCAGCATGTGTATCTGGTTTATCTCTACATTGTTGTAACACCTTAGACCAAGGTAATTCTTTGTTGTGGGGACCTGCCTTGTGCACTGTAGGAGGTTTAGCAGCATCCCTGGCTTCTACCCACTAGATGCCAGTAGCACCTGGCCCCAGTTGTGACAATCAAAAATGTCCCCAGAAACTGCCAAGTGTCCTCTAGAAGGCAAAATCACCCCTGGTTGACAGCCACTGTCTTAGACAGTACTATACACACATAATGGTTCAATAAATGAATACAGACTTCTCTGAATAGGTTACCTGCATTTCAAAAGGCCACTGCCAGCACTCACCATTGCGAGTCAGCTTTGGGGTAGTTCGGGAATTCACCAGGTTCTCCATTTCCAGATGAATATCTTTTGTTTCTCCAGTATCATATAAATGGCGCACCTGGCAGAAAGTTACAAAGTCAAACATGATAAAAAGCAAACATCAAGTAATAAATCCCCACCTAAAAGCAGAATGGCTAAGATTGGGAAGCAAGTTGGGCAAAGTTTAGAGAGAAGTTACCATGATGCCTTTAAATTCTTTATGGAATGAGGTGAGGTTATAGAGAAACACATGTGTATTAACTGTAAGAAGTTGTGCTAAAACTTAGCTACTTGGCCACGGAAGTCCTCTGAGAGTCTCTATTGGATCATTAAGCTGCCAGTTAACAGCAGGTTTTACAGACAGCTTAAGAACTTATCACATTTAGAAGACCTAAAGGTGTAAACTTCAAGCAGAAGGCGAATTAGAAGTTACGCTAGAACACAGGCAAATATATGAATGGGCTGCTTTCTAACAATTGCTCTAGTTTGGGTGATTATTGTGCTTTGTAAGATGTCATCCTCATTGTAGTACTGAGGTTTAGGGATCCTGAGAAGCAACTCAGTAGGACAAAAAAAAAAAATCAACTGATAGTACTAACAGTATCTTTCACTTTCAATAGTGTTTCATCTTTCAAAGTTCTTTCATGTGAGCAATTCCACTTGCCCTCACAATGGTCTTGGGAATAGATAGGGATTATTATCCTCATTTTTCAGGTAAAGAAACTGAGGTTCACAGAAAGTGAAATGACCTGTCCAAGGCACAGGTGATTAGCGGCTAGAATGAAAGTGGAAGTCAAATCTCCTGACTACTGGACAAGTGTTCTTTCTCCTATAATATGCAATTTGAATCAGGAGGTATAGAATTAAAATCCTGGATCCACCATTTTTGGTCATGTTTGATCTTCTGCAAGTCAATCAACAACTCTATGCCTTAGCTGCTCAATCTGTTGATGGAAAATAACCTGAAAAATACTACCTCCACCAATTCAAAAAGAGATCTACTTGAATTACTAAAAAGGTGTCCTGTATATGTTTGGTAATTTTATACATTCCAATACATCAGAGTTTTGATCAGTCCTGAAAATGGGCCCAGATACAGATAAACTGACTAGAAAGCTCTTACCTGGCTTGGCCGGAGGAAGCTGATGTTAATATTGGGATACCTAGTGACAGGGTCGATGCTGTATTGGCTGAAGTTTTTACTCACATTCTCAGGGGTGGTCTGGGGCAGCAACCTATAAATACTTTCCCTGCAATAATATACAACAATATACTGAGAGCAGTGACAAGCACCATAAACATCTCCCTCTCCTTTTGTAGTATTTCTGTTTTTTGACAGTCTACCAAATTGTCTAAAATATACAACAAAGCCTCATCCTTGACCACTTTACTCAACCAGGCCTTGCTTCCTATATCCACCACCCCCTTCATCCCAAGGGCGCTGACTGCTAAGAAGCAAGGAGAAGAACAGGTACAATGCTATGAGCAATAAGGAATGCCTGACTCTTATCTAAAAGGCAACTAGCTTACTGTTTTGCTTTTTTCAAGTAAGCCAATATTTAAGTTTTAAGAAAATCACAGATAAAAAAAGAACTTGCCACCACATTTAGCTAGAATGGCTTAAATAACAGACTTTGAATGATAAAATGATATCAACTACCAATTTCATCCGGGAAATCTTGTCTCTCTAGTTCTTCTGGTCAAGGCATTAGTTCTTTATCATCCAGCAAATCCTAGGATTTTTATCTCACTTGCAAAAATCTGCTTCAAAACATCTGACATTTAGGGGTTTGAGAAACGTTTATAAGCAGTTTGGTGTTTCCTTTGACTTCAAAACCACTTTTATTTTCTTCTCCATCAGTAATAAATTTAATTCGGGAAGGGATAAGAAAAGAGCAGTAGATTAATCTTTAGGTTTCTATGATTTTATGAAAGAGTATCTTGCCTTTCCTCTCTTAAACATGAAAATATCTTTACTTAAGAAAGGAGAGAGAGCTGGGTGCAGTGGTTCCCGCCTGTAATCCCAGCACTCTGAGAGGCCAAAGTAGGAGGAGTTCAAGACTAGCCTAAGCAAGAGTGAGACACTGTCTCTACCAAAGAGAAAGGAAAAAAAAACCCAGCCAGACATTGTGGCAGGCACCTGTAGTCCCAGCTACCAAGGAGGCTGAGGCAAAAGGACCACTTTAAGCCCAGGAGTTGGAGATTGCAATGAGCTATGATGATGCTACTGCACTCTACCCAGGGCTACAAAAGGAGACTCTGTCTCAATAAAAACAAACAAGGCAACTGAACACCCTTCCTCATAGACCCCCACCACTTAAAAATGTAAAACTTAAAAATTCAAAAAAAAAGAAAGGAGAGAGAGAGAAGGAAGAGCTTGAACCACTCCTTCTACCAGTTTTCTCATGGAAGGGACTCAGGGTTACTTCCCATTACCTCTCTGCCAGCACTTCCAAAGGGTTTGTTCCTAGTGACCAACTTCGTACCATCCAGGCAGAGTCCATAGCAGCTAGAAAGCCCCGAGCTATTCCTGTTCCCATTGGCCAGAAAGGCTATGAAGGAGATATAAAACAAAGAATTAAATTACCTTTTAAAACAAGAAAACTAAACTAAGGACCAAAGAGAGTGTGCTGTTGACAGTAGTGTTCGACAACTGTTCAGATAATGAACTTCTCTACTTCCCAAATTGGTAGTGGGGCAAGGCATAAAAGCTGCAGAACTTCCACCCATACTTACTAAGTCTAGGCTCCCAGCAGCCTGTGACCCTTCCCTATTTCCTTGTGTAACTCCTGCGGGGAACTAGCCTGTGCTGCACAACCCAGGACGCCCAGATTCACTCCTAATTATTACTGCCTCCACCATAAAGCACTGCCATCCTTAGCACTCACCTCTAGAAGGCTGTCCCCAACCAGAGCTACTAACAACTGGTGTCCGTTCTGCTCCCGCACCAGGGCGGCGTTCTCGGAGGCATACATACAAGTGAAGTCAAACATGGCCACATCGGGCTGCCCATAGTGATTGATGGCAAAATCCAGAGATGGCAGCTGCTGCTGGGTGGAGAAGTCTGCCGCCTCCCTGGCGTAGTTGAGTAGAGCCTCTTGGTCCACATTCTCTCGGGAAAGCAAGAGCTCTGTGTCGGCATAGTCCTGTCTCCAGAGAGAGAAGAGGCTTGCAATGGAAAAGCCCCAGCAGGGACCACAAGCTCAGCCAGCCAGAACCATGCTACCCATGGCAGACAGAACTCAGTGTTGCAGCTTTTCTTTCCCCTAAAGTGATTTCACATTCCAAAACCAAATCTTTCACACAATTTAAAAAGGAAAGGGGGAGAGGGGACTCTTAAAGAAAACACAGCTTTTGCCATCTAAAAACACATTCCTAGCTCTTCCATTTCCTTAGAGCAAATTGCTTCTCCTTTGATCCTGTCCAATTCACCTCACAGAATTGTTCTGAATATCAAATAAAAGAATTTATGGGATGGTACTCTGTGGACTGAAAGAACATTTTATTGTTTGGTATTGTCAGCAATCATCATCTTTTGAGTGGTAAGTGGCTTTTGGCAAACAGGACCATGTGACACGCTCGGTCTTCCATAGTACATCAGACCTGAAGGAAGAACCCAGAAGTCTTAGTGCCAAAGGACACAGAGGTGGAAGCAACAGTTCAGGAGGCTGGGAAAAACATACTGAATGTGGAACAGAGGTTTTTAAAATAATATATAAGATTCTGAAAGGCTCTACAGGAATCCACCAACAAAGAAGAAGAATGATGAGAGAAAAAGGGTTTTCCACATAAAGGACTGAAAAACCCCTTTGCTGTTTTGGAGGCTCCTGGCACACTGAGCCAAGTCTTTTTTTTTTTGTTGAGACAGAGTCTCACTCTGTTGCCCGGGCTAGAGTGCCGTGGCGTCAGCCTAACTCACAGAAACCTCAAACTCCTGGGCTCAAGCAAGCCTTCTGCCTCAGCTTCCCGAATAGCTGGAACTACAGGCATGTGCCACCATGCCTGGCTATTTTTTCTATATACTTTTAATTGGCCAATTAATTTTCTTTCTATTTTTAGTAGAGACAGGGCCTCGCTCTTGCTCAGGCTGGTCTCAAACTCCTGACCTTGAGCGGCCTCGGCCTCCTAGAGTGCTAGGATTACAGGCCTGAGACAAGTCTTTATTCTCTTAAAGTGGGGCCTATGGTTTTTAAGTGCCCCTCATGTACTTTCAACCACCACTACAAGATGTTAAAAGTCAAAATACAAACACTCAAGTTGGTCCTGGAAATACTGTTTGTTCAACATTAGCAAGCAGCCACAATGGGTTTAGTGTTTAGCAGTACATACAGAAGACATAGCCCCTGCCCTCTAAAAATAAATAAATAAAAAGGAACAGTAAATCAGGACTTGGCATTTTGATTGTCCCTACCTAATTTCTACTGATAACCACAGTTCTGTTTTGATGGTAGATTTAGATCTTAACTTAGTCCCAAGGCATACAAACCACTTCACTGGCTGTTTCTTACAGACAGCAATGTAACCCCAACAGAGCCCCAGATAATCAACAGACCAATTCTATGGGGTATCCAACCTAACATATCTTGCTTATGCTCTTGGCAGCATGGGCTATACAAACTGCTTTGTCCTGGTTCTCCCTGCACACACAGGACCGCTGTGCTAAGAAGCAGTCACAGGGCTCTGGGTGGAAAGGGGCTTAGTGTGGCAGGCACGTGCTTGTCACTTGCTCCCCATTCTGCCCTAGATAAGACAGTAGTGTCACTCAGACCAAAGTGACTTGATTCATCATCATCCTGCAAAGACAAAGGACTCCCTGAAGCTCAGCTAATGAGTCTCTGTCGGGAACTCCACAGGCCTGAATCAGCACGTCTGGTGACACTTTGCTTCTACCCTTCTTGTCACATGGGGATAGTAATTCTCATATGTAGACCAATGAGACCAAATAAGACTTTAACAAACTCTTTAAGGAACCATCCATCCTGTGATTCTCTGATTTCATGTTTCAGGGTCATCATCTCAGGATTCACCATGCAACTGTCACCTAGAACAATGGCTCAGCTAGACATGGCTAAGGATGGACATTAAGCCCTTGGTGTTCAATCACAGAGACCTAAATACACCCTGATCCAGTCAGTGTTGCCTAGAACTCTGATACCATGATTATAGTAACACCAGAACCACTGACAGGCTCCCACAAACACCAATTATTGCTTCTGGGTCAACCCCCCCTCCCCTCTATAACTCCCACTAAAAGGTAATCTATTAATCAAACAATAACTGGTCATGTATAGAATTCACTAAAACCAAAAACAAATCACCTAAAATTAGATTGATAATGTTTATGCATAAAATGCTATCTGAGACTGGCTTTGAAACAGTTCAATGGCAGGAGGAGCAGTGGGCTGGGGCACTACTGACACAACACTGGTCATATGCTGCTAACTATTAAAGCTGGATGATGGGCACGTGAAGGTTCATTACACTGTTTTCCCCACTCTTATTTACATTTGAATTTATCCATAACAAAGTTGTTAAAGTTCAACTGAAAACATCAAGGATTACCAAGAGATGTGTTCAGGGCTCACTTTCATTCTCTTGTAGGAAAAACCCATCAGACAATAAAATTCTTTCTCTTATTAACTAGTTCAACAAAAGGGAGATTTGAAAGAAATCCATTGCTCACATGCAGTATCACCCCTTTGTCCAGTAAACTCTGCTTTTTGGCTGTCATAACGAAATAGTGCGTGTCATCTTTGTAGTAGACGATGTTCTCCAAATCAATACCTGGGACCAGAAAACAAACGTGTGCATGTAAGAGTTTGCTGAGAAAAAGGTGCATAAGGTGGCCAGAAAGGTTGTACAAGAGATAGGGGTTGTAAAACTCCAGCCAGGGAAAGATGTCTATGCCCAGATTCTCACTTCCTGCATAATTGGTTCATGAAAATACGGGGAGCTTTGTTTCTCCTTGTACTGCTCTATAATTCACTTGACACCCTAAATTATCCCCAAAACAATGAGTAAACAGCTATAAAAATGGGGAAAAACCCCAAAACAAATCAAAAAGGGGCTAACCTCTACAGGAAGGTTTGGGTTAGTTATCAGGTCAAACCTCTTTAATAGTCATCAAGGAAACTGGAGGAATTTCTTAGATTCTTAAGAACAGAATAGACAACTCGATGCCTACAAGCAGAGAGTAAACTACTGACTTTTTAATTTAATTAATCCAAAAAATAGATGTGGTGGAAAGAAATCAAGTTCTAGAAGACAGAATGAAGGCACATTTAGCAAAATATCTAAGTTAATCTATTCAAAAGCTATCACACAACAATCTCATTCCTGTCTGGCACATGCTTTGCTTTCAAGCTCAAACTGGAACCCAGAAAGAAGACTACACACTTAATACCTAAAGTCGGGTTCTCAATCAAACCAGGGAACTACCAGGCATCAGCATGCTAGCTACATTGAGCACTGCAGTATAGGATAAGGCATTGGGGAAGATTGGTAAAGGCAGAACTGAACATTTTATAATAAAACAAATAAGTAAAGATAAAACCCAGAGCAGCCCAGTCACTGTGATGTGGGTTAAGAATACTGGAGTAGGAAACAAGTTCTGGGGGAAGCCTCATGCTTAGAACAGGGTGTGAGGAGTGAAGAGAGAGCAGGGGGTGGGGTTTGACAACACAGTAATGATACCAAGGGCCAACCACCCACCAACTCCCAAGAGGAAAGTGATGAGTAGTTATTTAAATTTTTATCCTAATTGCTCTGGAAGCATCTAGACCAACCTGTGGCTTCCCTCAGTTCCTGGAAAAATTTTTGGTTGAATATAAAAGCCACACCACTGATCTCTTCCACTTTGGCTTCTGCTGTTGTATTTCGGTTAATAAAATTTGCTGTGATGGCGATGGCCAGTTTGCCACGGAATTCTTTCCGACGAAATCCTGGAGGGAAAGAAACTCTCAGAGGTGGCAACAGTTACCTAGAGAGGAAGGAAGATCACTTCAAGAAAGGGGGTGCTGAGGAAGATGTTAGGGAAAATGGGGGATGAGAATCAATGGAAACATTTTAGGGCAGCTCTCCTTTATCTGAAAATAAGGTATCTGCCTACCAAAGAACATGACAATTCTGGAAAAAAGTCAAAGTCTCCTACACCATTTGCAAATAATTTGAAACATAACTGACCAGAACATTACTCTGTATTAGGGACTCCATTTAAAAGGGGGGAGGGCACTTATTAATACATAGATCAAATCCTGCAGTGTCAAGCACTCCAAGTATGGCTCATCTCCTAGTGCCCTAACACAAGCGCCCTTTGAGAAGCAGCCCGAGGATGGGCTGGCTAGAAGAAGGCAGGCCTGCCATTCAGTTAGAGTGGGCAGCACACACAGATTCTCAGAAGCATGGACGATGGTGACATAAACTCTTACCCAGGGTAGGACAGGGCCAGCTTTCACTCTGTTACAAACCAGCAAAGGAGCATAAATCAGTACCTTCCAAGGTGTTCCTACGGCCATCTCCACCGATGATCACTTCAAATTCATACTCTGACACAGGATGAGTTTTGGGATGCACCAGTGCCCGCCAACCTATCCCTGTGGATCAAAGCCAAAAGGGAAGTCATCACCCAGACCATATTTACACATCCAAGAACACCTCTAGACACCCAGGCATAGAGACTGCACAAAACCCTGAGACAAAAACACTATGTGTAAAAGCACTGAGGACAAACCACAGAAAGAAAGAAGTTTAAAGGGGGCTCACTAGGGACCTTCCCCACCACACTATTGCCTGCAATGTCCAATATTGTGTCTAAGGCCCCCTCAGTAAGCCAAGTCCTCAAGGGCGCAGGCTGTATAAAGGCAGATGCCTCCCATAGCTAGTTCTAAAAACAGTCCGTAGGTGCATCTAGTTTTCTTCCTTTTCTCACACTTCAATGCCCTTTTATGCCTTCTTCACTTGTCCAATCCAACTTACGTTCATTCTCTTGGTCCTCAGGAGGCTGTACAAGTCCTTGGAACTCCACATTGACATGGATTTCAATGCCTAGGATCAAGGCTACTTTCAACAGTATTAGCTGGAGCTGACGGATACCTGGGCAAACACGAAGATTACATTGGTGGAGTGCACAGAGAAGGGGGTGCCTGTCATTAGCCACTGCTCAGGCTTCCAGCCTTCCACCTATGCATCCTTCATTCAGATTCTCAAAGCCTTTGTGACAGGAGACATTTCCCAAGCCATGCTCTATACCTGCAGTCTCTAACCCCCAGGTCATGGACTAGTACCAGTCCGTGGCCTGTTAGGAACCAGGCCACATAGCAGGAGGTGAGCACGTGAGGCTTCATCTGTATGCTCTCAATCACCTGCATCACTGCCTGAGCTCTGCCTCCTGTCAGATCAGCAGTAGCAGTAGACTTTCATAGGAGCGCAAACCCTACTATAAACCGTACATACAAGGGATCTAAGTTGTATACTTCTTATGAGAATCTAATGCTTGATGATCTGAGGTGGAGCTGAGTCAGTGATGCGAGCACTGGGGAGCAGCTGCAAATACATTATCATTAGCAGAGAGGTCTGACTGCACAATACATGTCATGTGCTGGAACCATCCCAAAACCATCCCCTCCGTGATCTGTGGTCCATGGAAAAGCTGTCCTCCACAAACCAGTCCCTGATGCCAAAGAGATTGGGGACAGCTGCCTCCGTGCTGTAACTTATTTCTTCATTCTTTTTAAAGGGCAGATATAATCTGGTAGAAGAGATGTTCTAGAGACATGCAGGCCATTCCCACCTCTTGGGTGAGGTGTTCTGACAATCAACAGCCCTGAGACAACATGGGGTTGTGGCCAACAGGAGACGCTCTGTTCCATGTTCCCCTTATCCAGAGCCATCACACCAGCAGCATCTACAATCCTGACAGGACATGGCATTTACCACAGGAGACAAGATGCGCACCACAGGTGTGCTTTCACAGTCGGATGCAAAGCTGCTGCACCACTTCCTAAGACATCCACAGCCCCTCTCCCATCCCATGCCCTCACAGACCTTCACATTCTTAGCAGGTGAATGAGATCACAACCCAGCTGTATCCGCTTACCATCCCCCTCCCACCACTGGTCTACAGCTGTGGAAACTGAGGCCCATAATAACAGCAAATCTTGCTCATTATTATAGTAAGATTTATTTATTTATTCGATGTCCAATGAGTGCCTGCCAGGTGCCAGACATGAAACCAACTTCAGGTACACAGAGATAAGAATCTAGTCCCTGAACTAAGACCCTCTCAGCTTTCAGATAAATCCTGCCACACAGAAGGCAGAAAAATCCACTGAATTAATGACACTTGGTCTTAAGACCAAACTTACCTGTGGCCCATGACTAATCTGCAAGGAGCACATACAGATCCTCCTCTTGGTCATTTGGTCATTTTCCCCAGCTCACTACAACCACCACCCTTCTGAGTCACACTACCAAAGACTCATTAAATCCTGTGCTAGCACACATTTTTATTTTTGCAGACAACTGTGGGTTCCAAGATGCTTTACAAATTACAGGCTGACAGATGGGCAATGCTCTCTCTGCGAGAAGAATGTGGCGCCTATTGGCCAGTGTTTGATAAACTGGCACCACTGCTTCAAACAGCACAAGGCTCAGTGGTTGAATATATTTATAGGACACATCTGGAGGAGCTCAAACAAAGGTTCCTTGATAAGGCTTTCTTGGAATCATTAATGATAATCAATAAAAAAGACTTCAGCTTCCCAACACAGACACTGTCTTTTCTGAATTGCTTTTCAGATAGGGCACTCACAGTAAACAAACAGCACTGCCTAATTAACTAATACCCTACGGGATCGCAGAAGAGCACAGGCCTAAGCTGAGCTTGTGATGACAAGAGTACAGCAAGAGCTGTTCTTGCTGTAGACCTCACAAGAACCACCTAACCAAAGGAATCCCATTGTTGATTTGCCATTCATGACCAAGCTAGGACTCTGCTTCTTCTCTAAGTGTGGCTTCCCCAGGACTGGGTCCCACAGCACTTTGTTCTTATAGTAGCAGAGCGTATATCAGATCACATTACAGAGAGCTGCACGCCTGCATACTCCTTCCACTGGACTAAGAACTACAGAGGGTCCAGGCCCAAGCTGGTCGTCTGTTTCCAACACCTGGCCCCAGGGTGCATCCTAAGCACTATAAGTGCTCACCAAGAGTCCAAGACCTAATTTAGAAATCTCTGTGCCAAACTCTACATTTCATAGGAGATATACTTGTGGCTAAAAGTCCTAGATTACAGAACCACTGCATGGCAGGTATTTTTACCCCAAGCAGAGTGTGCTTGTTACGAGACAAATACTACTGAGATTAGAACAAATTGAGCTGAGTATGAATTCCTTAGATAATCTACCTGTCTCTTTCTACTGAACAAGTGGGCAGGACTAGGGGGGGAATTCTGCAGGAGAACTGGTTTTACTTACTAATATGGTCAATGGCTCCAGCACAAAACTTGCCATAGAACTTCTTGGCACCCAGACCTCGCAGATCATGTATGGTGAATGGCCAAAGATGCAAGACATTGTTGCGGGAGAAGGCATCTCGTTTCTCAATAACGACCACCTTGGCTCCCAGTAAGGATAAGTCAATGGCTGTGCGGAGACCACAGGGGCCAGCTCCAATGATGAGACACTGAAACAAACAAACAAAAACAGCTGTTTTCAGGGCAAAGGCAGCACCTCTTAAGAAACATTTCTAGAGAAGTTTCAAGATCTTATAACCATCATTCTCTAAAGCTCCCAAATAGGGCTATTCTACCCACTTCCATCTGGGTGGAAACCACCCATCTGGGTCAACGGCTTGAGAAATAAGCTAATGATTGCTGTGGATAGAGAAGATCTGAATTGTCAGTGCTAGACACAAACTCAGCACATATTCACCTTGGACAGCCTGTAAACCCCACAGATCTGCAACATATTTAAATAGGTCATCATTTCAACAAACAATGTGAAAATCACATCTAATCTTGTATCAACAGGAGAGGACCTTTTAGAAGATTTCTAAGCCATGCAGATTTCTAACTAAGGAGACAAAGATTATTGATACACAGTCTAGGCAATCTTAGAGTCCCAGAATGGTTCTACCACTCAAGGGAACTTTTAAGAGTCCGAGTTTTATGTGCTGAAAGAAGTTCCAAAATCCCTATTTCTAGACTAAAAGTCCAGGGAAATGATCATGAAAATCCACACTTTAGGGAAGTACTTAGGGTGAAACTGGACCCTTATCTTAACTAGTTTGCACTGTATGTGTAGAAGGAATACATGCAATTTTTGGCTTTGCATTTCTTTTGTTCTTAATAAAAGTCCAGCACTCACTCATGTAAGTCATGCCTTCAAATTTCTTGGATTTTGTTGATGAAAATGCAAATCCATTGGTGGTAGTCTCTAGGTATTCACAAAGGGCCAATTAAAAGCTCATAAAAGGGCATAATAAAATAGCCATGAAAGTCATCTGCATATTTGTGTCCCTGCTAGCTTTTTCCAAGGAAGAAAGTAAGAAATGTATTTTTCCTTCTCCACTTCCTCACATCTTCCCTGCACAGGTGAGTGCACATCATAGGTCTTTACCCAGGCCTACCTATTTCATGGAAATCCTATTTCTCTACATTATGACAAAAACAACAGAAATACTTCAGCTCACAAAGACCTTGCTTATGAATCCAAATAGACTTTGGAATATGGATGAGAAGAAGTCTGAAGCTTGTGGCAAATTCTCAAGTTAGCAAATACTATGCCTTATTAGTTACTGAATATGAAATGATGACTTGGTAAAGACAGCATGCCAAGAACCAGTAAGACATGTTCAGATAGAATGCTAACAGAGCTTAGCTATGTCCTTACTACATGACCTACATTCTCCTAACAATGTGATGTTCAAAAGAAAGCATTAGCAAAATAAAATGTTACTGTGCCTCTTGACTTCATGGTTGTTCTTTTTTTTTTTTTTTGAGACAGAGTTTCGCTCTGTTGCCTGGGCTAGTGTGAGTGCCATGGCGTCAGCCTAGCTCACAGCAACCTCAAACTCCTGGGCTCAAGCGATTCTCCTGCCTCAGCCTCCCAAATAGCTGGGACTACAGGCGTGAGCCACCATGCCTGGCTAACTTTTTGTTTCTATTTTTAGTTGACTGGCTAATTTTTTTTTCTTTCTATTTTTAGTAGAGATGGGGTCTTGCTCTTGCTCAGGCTGGTCTTGAACTCCTGAGCCCAAGCAATCCCCCTGCCTTGGCCTCTCAGAGTGCTAAGATTACAGGTGTGAGCCATCATGCCTGGCCAGGGTTGTTGTTAAATAGTTGAAACTTTGAATGTTCAACATGTAAATGCATGAAATATGCTTAGAATAGGGTCTGGAACATGGAAGTCAAATAAATACAGGTAACAGATTCACCAAGTTTCAACAAGGTAGAAGCCTGCCTTCCTATGCTAGGCCATGGCTAGACTCTGCTGGTTCAAACCTAGTTTATCCCTACTCAATCTCTCTCTTTGGCATCTGGTTAAATCTTCACATCAGTGACTCTAGGGCCCGACAGTAGCCAAATCCTTACCTTTGTGTTAGTGCATGCTTTTCCCTTTTTGTAGTCTTTGTGACTGCCTCGTTTGTCCAACTTTGCCCAGAGGGCTTTGGCTTTCCAGTAGTTAAGCTTGGACTTCAGCTTGTGATAAAAGGAGCGATAGTCCTTAGGTTTCAGTTCCAGGTGGTCACAGAGTTCTTGGAAGGTCTTAAGGGTTCCTTTGCAGGTGGTAGCCTGGACAAATCGGTCAAAGAGGACATGAGCTTGGTTCATCGTCTCATGCTTTCTCTCCTCCATGCTGCCTGCCCTCAGCACCCCACAGAGGGGGCTGTGGGATGGCCGTGGATCCACCTGACACTGTCACGTTAATCTAATAAAAAGAGAGAAAGAAAAAGAAATGGTCTATATTGTTGTCTTCACAGACATTTTTAGGAGACATACTCTTTTTCAAAGTAGAGTTCCCAAGTGTTAACATTCATTCATGCAACAAGTATACTGTACATCTGCGACATTCCAGGCCCTCTCCAAGACCCTGGGGATGGAGAGATGATAACATAGCTCTTGCTTTCAAGGATCTTATTGTCTAGTGGATGAGATAGACACGCAAATAGAATGTTTCAATGTCCTATACTAAGTGCCACTAAAGAGAGAGCCAAAAGGGTCTGGGGAACACAGAGTAAGAGTATCTAAATCACAGGGAGGTTGGGGTCCCCACTGAAGACGAGCCTCTGAGAGGCTACAGCTGAGTCTTTCAGGATAAACGTTAGCCAGGCAGAGAAAAAGTGAGGACACAAGAAAGCAAAACAGGCAGGCCTGTGAGTGACTCGTGCAGATCAAAGAGTCACTAACAGATCTCCAGGTTTCCAGCTCTGGCCGCTGAGTGAACACTGATGCCAGGCTGGTGGTGGATTAAAGGCCGAAGAGGGTGCAGTGGGAGCTCCCTTTCCATCTGTTCCCCTTGAGCTCCCCAAGGAGAGGTGCTCACTAGGCAGTTGGGCATAAGCATGAAGCTCAGGGAGTGGCTGGGGATGCAGGCCAAGATTTGGAGTCACTGGTACACAGGTAATGGCTAAACCTGTGAAAAGCAGGTAAGATCAACAAGGAAAGTCCATGGGGAGAAAGGAGCCATGGGCTCTGGATGAAATCTGGGAAGCACTAACCTAGAAGAGGCTGCAGAGAAGACGAGCCCTCTAAAAAGATTTGAGGAAGAGTGGAGAGAGGTCTGAAGAGAACCAAGGGCAGTGTCACTGAAGTCAAAGAAGCAGAAAGTTCAGAAATGTTAAAGACAGCAGGGATTTAAAGAACTCAAAAAGTCCTGTGTGCCACCCTGAGCAAGAGTGAGACCCCATCTCTACTAAAAATAGAAAGAAATTAGCTGGACAACTAAAAACACATAGAAAAAATTAGCCAGGCATGGTGGCACATGCCTGTAGTTCCAGCTACTCAGGAGGCTGAAGCAGGAGGATTGCTTGATCCCAGGAATTTGAGGTTGCTGCGAGCTAGGCTGATTCCATGGCACTTGAGCATGGGCAACAGAGTGAGTCTCTGTCTCAAAAAAAGTCCTGTGTACAGTATAGTGTGATTTTATAGCCATTCCATTTTGCCCACAATCATATTTGACAATAACAATCATGGCTGTACCTTCTACTTACCAAAAATATCCACACACCCACCATCCTGTATTGTCTGCTAGACAGAGGCTTGAAGACGGGAGATGGCACCATATGTGCTTCTTCATCCGTCCACCGCCTTGGTCCTGCTCCATTTTGCTACCACATTCTATGATCATCACTATTGAACTATCACTGGGAAGTGATAGAAGCAAAGGGCCAGAGAGCAAAACTAAGTCATAGGAGAAGAGACAGTAGGTCGGAGGAGTGGGACGAGCTGTGGGACAGCTGTGGCACTGAGCCCACATGTGCCAGACCTTGGCTGCCTGATCCTGCTTAGGCACTTTGTCTCACAAGGCCTCAACTGTCCCTTGTGTAAGATGAGGAGGTTAGACCGATGATCTCTAAAACTCTCTTCCAGTCCTGAAGTCCTCTGAGTCTAGTGCTGAGAATATCATGGCCACAGCACTCACACCTGGTGCTCTAGGCAGTTCATCACAGGTGCACTGCCAGCTTACCACTAGTGTGAACATGGCTGGCTTGGGGCTTTGCTTTAAAGAGGACTGGCAGTTGGGGGTGGCGGCCACGGAGGAAGCTGTTGATGCACTGTGTTCACAAGGGGTGTAGAAGCAAGATACGCCCCACTGTCCAGTGCACCAACCCAAAGGGGATGGGAGCCACATTCCAGAATGACACGAAAGAGCCCCAGGGCTCTGTCCTGAAGCTCTCACTCTGGGTAAGTCAATGAGCAACAGAATCCCCCTGTGTGACACAGAAATAATATTCTGCTTCTCTCCACACCTCAGCATGATACTATAACTTCCAACCAAACCAACTGGAGATGCATCTTACGTTTTGTAAGAGAAACAACACTCTTCACATACCATGAGGATGAGCCGAAGATGGTAATTCTCTACCTGAAACACCCTGACTTGGCTTCTCACCTCAGATATATCACTTACTGAACAACCCCTCCCAGCGCTGAATATTAAAAACTGCACTGCTAATAAACACACTTGTCCCAATATTCACATGGCCAAGAGTCAAGCACTAAATGGAATTAACTGGAACTAATATTCAATTTCTCCAAAGTTTTATTCTAGGTAGCAACAAGCAGTAATATTTTAAAGTTCCTAAAGAGAGCCCATTCTTTTTCTTACAAGCCAAGGCTTATCCCAGAAAGGATAAATAGTCAAAATGGCAGATGGCTTATAAGGGTGGGAAAGGCCAGATGTGCTTATCCAAAGGAAGAAGTAACAACAGTGACAGGTAACAACCAATGACTAAAAACAAAGATCCCAGATCATCTGCTATACCAGGGGCCTTCTCTGCCTCTTGCCTTCTTGGTGGGGATTTCATCAGCTTTATTTGCTCTTTGGCAAGTAGATGGCATTGTGCAATCCTGACCCTGCCTACTCTACTTGTGTTACTAACCAATCTTAACTCCACCGGAGTCACAGTGTTTGGCAAGCTTTGAATACACCTGGTCTGATCTATCTCTACCTTATGTCAAGGAAGAAAATGACTTTTCTTTGTTCCTAAACAGCAGCCACCTTCCACTCCTTGCCAGGATTCAGAGCACTCAGAACCAAGATGTTCTTGCTGAAACCATCACATTAAAGGTCCCACAACATATACTTCCAAAAGCCTTTCTTTCCCCTGTCATAATGCCTGTCTTGTGCTCACACCTCCCCTAAAAGAGAGTCTTAGGCATTTACTTTCAAAGGATTCTGCCATATGGCCTAACATCTCCTTGGCTGGTGGTAGCCTACTCTGTTTGAAATAAATATTCACTTTCAAAGAGATGCCAACCACCACCGGATATCTCCAAATCAAACCCTACCACAGTTGAACACCTTCATTAGTAACTGCCCCCAATCCTTCTGCTGCTGTAAAATACTTTGAAATTAACAGGTTTCAGCCACATCTCCCAGAGAGCTGCAGAGCGCCTGTTTCCCAGTGTCAGGCAAGTATTAAGTACCCTGTCTAAGGGATTACGACCTGACAACAGATAAATAGAGGTAGATTGGTTCCTGGAACAATGCGACAGGCACCCAAGGTAAGACTACACAAGATTAATTCCCTCGGGCTGCCTCACTTTTCCTACTCTGAAAGCCAAATGATCACATCTCCTGCACTCTGACAGCTGAGAAGAATGGCAGGAGGAGAGCCATTGATGTTACCACCTTCATTTCCCCCATTCCTGAAGGTCAAAGCCAGATCATACTCCTCCTGGCCTCTCCTGAACCACTCCTATGTACTCTTCATCCCAGTATCCTGGGACAATCAGCATTCATAATCACAGGAACCTAGAGAGTAGGAAACCTGGCAAGAAAGTGCCAGAAATCCTGCGGACTGAAAAGCCAAGGTGTGGAAGGAAGGGGTAACGGAAGTGAGAAGCCTGAGGAGGGAAGAGGAAGAGGAGGTGAGGCCGGGTTTCCAGGCATCTGTGCAGTCTCTGCCAGCTAACAACATCCTGCATGTTTTGTCCTGCGGCAGCTGACTGCTGACTCAGAAGCACATTCCTTGGCTGTGGAGGACAGCACTGCAGAGACAGCCTATGAAGTGCATGCAGGAGCAGAGTTTATGTTTCTATATACAATAGTCAAAGGTTGTCACTGACTCCTGGCTGTTTATGAGAACACTCATATCTAGCTCTCAGAATAGGTGTGTGGTTGGTTTTGGAGGGGTTAGGGAAGAGAATTATCTTTAAAAATAGAAAAAGGAAAGAGAAACAAAACAATGAAATAAGAATTACACTCCATCCACAATTATGGGACCAGAGTGAAACTTAGTAAATTTTCTCCTCAGCCACTGCATCACTAATATACCAGATGATGTGCAAATCTCCGAATCTTAAAAAGGAATCTGAAATGCTCCCTTCCCTAACCCACTCAGTCAGAGAGGTATGTCTTGTCCAAATAGTCTTGGAAGTAGGTGTATAGGAATGCTTGTTTTGGAACACCATCAGGAGGAAACTGTGATGAAAACACACTTCAGATTATTGAGATTCCCTCATGTTTTGCTTCAAAAACGAGGACCAAACGAGGCATTGCCAACATGCCTCGCACTCCTGACCTGCCTTTCTGCAACACGGGTGACAGGCTGCTGAGCCATGGGTGAGGACCCTGGGCCTGCACCGTGGGGACAGTGAGCTGACTTGGAAGAGACCATCTTGAACAAGATTCCCCGTAGACTCTCACTCTGCTTCCCAGCTCCTTGTCTTGCACAGCTCTTAGATGAGGTTCTGGGGACCTAGGAAGCAAGCTCAAAATACAATAAGGAAAGCTGTCTTCCTTATGCATTTTTTATTTTCAACTTCTAAAATTATGGTAAAACACACATATCATAAAATTTCCCATCTTAACCTTTTTGAAGTGTACAGTGCAGTGGTATTAAATACAGTCACATTGTTGTGCAACCACCACCACCCATCTATCTCCAGTGCTCTTTTCATCTGGCAAAACTCTGTATGCATTAAACAATAACTCCCTGTTCTCCCTTCCCACCAGCCCCTGATAACCACTATTCTGCTTTCCGATTCTAAAATTTCCACTACTCTAGGTGTTTCATATAAGAAAATTTTTATAGAATTTGCCTTTCTATGACTGACTTATTTCCTTTAGCATAATGTCCTCATGGTTCCTCCACGGAGTAGCATATTGCAGAATTTCCTTCCTTTTTAAGGTTTGACAGTATGTATAGACCACATTTGACTTATCAGTTCAACCCTTGATGGATACTTGAGTTGCTTCCATGTTTCAGCTGTTATGAATAATGCTGCTATGAACATGGACATACATCTCTCTTGGAGACCTTGTTTTCAATTCCTTTGGGGATTAGGATTAGAATTAGGATTGCTGTATCATAAGGTAGTTCTGTTTTTAATTTTCTGAGAAACCTCCATATAGACTTCCACAGTGGCTATACCATTTTACATTCCCATCAGCAGTGTACAAGGGTTCCAATTTCTCCACATCCTCGCCAAGACTTATTTTCTTCTAGTATATTTTATTATTTTTTAATAATAGCCATCCTACTGGACTGTGTGAGGCAGTATCTCATTATCGTTTTGATTTGCATTTCCCTAATGATTAGAGATGTTCAGCATCTTTTCAAATACCTATGGGCCATTTGTATACCAACTTTGGAGAAATGTCTATTCAAGTTTTTTTCTTATTCTTTAACTGGGATGTTCATATTCTTGTTGCGTTTTAAGAGTTCTCTATACATTATGGATATTAATCCCTTATCAGATATATAATCTGCAAATGCTTTCTCCCATTCTGTGTGTTGCTTTTTTACTGTTGATAGTGTTTTTTGATGCACAAAGCTTAAAATTTTCATGAAGTCTAATTTGTCTATTTTTTCTTTTGTTGCCTGTCTGGTATCATAGCCAGGAAATCATTGCCAAATGATTGGCAATGTTGTGAAGCTTTTCTCCTATGTTTTCTTCTAATAGTTTTATAGTGTTTTAGGTCTTACATTTAGCTCTTTCTTCTATTTTGAGTTAATTTTTGTATATGGGGAGAGAAAAGGGTCAAATCTCATTCTAATGCATGTGGATATCCAGTTGCCCCACTATGATTTGTTGAAAAGACTGTCCTTTCCCCTTCCCCAATGGTCTTCCCCTTGTCAAAAATCATTTGACCATATTTGACTATTCTACTCCGTTAGTTTATCTGTCTGTCTTTATGCTGGTACCACATTATTTGATTACTGTAGCTTTGTAGAAAGTGTTGAAATCAGGAAGTATGAGTCCCCCAGTTTTGTTCTTTTTTTTTTTTTCCTTTCTTTTTCAGACACAATCTCATTCCGTTTCCCCAGGTAGAGAGTGCAGTGGTATCATAGTCGCTCCTCAAACTCCTGGGCTCAAGTGATCCTCCTGCCTCAGCCCACCAAGTAGCTGGGACTACAGATGCCCACCACACACCCAGCTAATATTTTCTATTTCTGGTAGAGACAGAGTCTCACTCTTAGCTCAGGCTGGTCTTGAACTCCTGAAGGACCTCAAGTGATCTTCCCGCCTTGGCCTCCCAGAGTGTTAGGATTACAGGCGTGAGCCACCGCCTGGCCAGTTTTGTTCTCCCTTTTAAAGATTGTTTTGGCTATTTGGGGTTCCTTGAGATTCCATATGAATTTTAGGATGGGTTTTTCCATTTCTGTAAAAATAGTCATGGTATTTTGATAGAGAATGCACTGAATCTGCAAATTGTTTTAGGTAATATTGGCACCTTAACCATATTAAGCCTTCCAATCCATGAATACGGATGTGTTCTCATTTAAAAGTTTTCTTTAATTTCTTTCAGTAATGTTTTTTAGTTTTCATTGTACAAGTCCTTTGCTTCCTTGGTTAATTCCTAAGTATTTTATTCTTTTTGATGCTATTGTAAATAGAACTATTTTCATAATTTCCTTTTCAGATTGTTCACTATTAGCATATTGAGATGAAACTGATTTTTGTATGCTGACTTCATATCCTGCAGGTTTGCTGAATTCCACACATTAACTTCAAACAGGTTTTTTTGGTGGAATCTAAGATTTTCTACATGTAAGATCATATCACCTATGAACAGAGATAATCTTACTTCTTCCTTTATAATTTGGATGCCTTTTATTTCTTTTTCTTGCCTAATTGCTCTGGCTAAAACTTCCAGTACTGTATTGAATAGAAATAGTGAAAGTGGGCATCATTGTCTCGTTCCTAATCTTGGAGGAAAAGCTTTCAGTCTTTTACCATTGAGTATGATATTTGCCATGGGTTTTTCATATATAGCTTTTTACCATATTGAGGTAGTTTCTTTCGATTCCTAGTTTGTTGGGTGTTCTTATCATCAGAGGGTGTTGAATCCTCATGTATTCTTGTTTCTGCACATATTTCCTCCTCAGATATTTTCTGACTTCCCATTCCATTTAGCATCAAAGTGACACTGGGCAGGATGGTGAGGAAATAGGAAGCCAGTACCCATCCCCAGCTCTGTGCCCACTTCCCTGCTTCCATGGACCTGCCCTTTAAAGTAGTACTCCTCATCCACACCTGACATTCAGCAAGGATATTATTCAATGTCTCTCTCTTCCATTAACTACACTGTAAGCTTCCTTAGGGCAGGGACGAGGTCTCTGCAACTACAGCCTGACCTGTAATAGAAACAAACTATGTTTCTGTGGAGGTGATAAAGGGAAGATGGAGCCAAGTAGCTCTATATTTGAAGGACAGGTCCTGTGGAAAAGCAGTAGCCTCGGCCTGCATGGCAGCAGAAGGTGAAGGAGAAATAGGCAAATGTAACAGAGAGATTTCTAATGTACTACTAACATATAGTATCTAAGAATACAACAGGCAGCCTGGGCAGATAGTGATAACCTAAGAAGAGCAACCAGCAAAAACTTTTACCATGAATCTTCATTATTCTTGGCTGTGGAGCATCCCTCCCTAGAGGTATCTGGGAAGAGCCTAGACTAGATGATCTCTGGGTTCTCTTCCACATCTCTAATTCTGAAACACAGTGGTATGGCCCTATTCCCTATGTTATATCTTCTCTAACCTTTTATTTCTACTCCTTGCAAGCAACCTATTTCTTCATGAAAACCAAGTTAAGAACTATGCAACTGAGAAAATGCAACCTATGAACTGTGCAACCTGTGCAACTGAGAAATGAAGTGAGTCAGACATGAACTGACCTCTGCCTTGTGGTTCTATTGCCCCAAACACACAATTAAATGTCCGAATCAGAACCAAGCACCCAATGAACACAATCACTGATGCTGATGCCAATGCCTGCCCAAATAATTCACAAAAACAAGTACCAAAAAAGAATAAAAGGTGCAATGTCTTATAAATCATTTCCCCATGCATAAAATGAAAACTGACAGTATCAGAGGGTTTTGTAGGAATTAAGGTAATAAATGTGCACGGCCCAATCAATGGTAGTGCTGTTATTATCTAGCAGTTTGTAAATAAGCCCCACAACGAAAGCTTATACTCAGTCTAAATAAATAGCTACTATATAACAGAATATTGAGCTCAGAGAGCTTGTTTCTTGAAGTAAAGAAAAACATTTTGGAACTCTGTTTGCTCTATCATCACTCTCTTCCCTCTCCATTCTATCTGTTCTAGAAGGTGTGGTGATGGTTTTTTTTTTTTTTTTTTGGAGACAGAGTCTTACTTTGTTGCCCAGGCTAGAGTAAGTGCAGTGGCATCAGCCTAGCTCACAGTAACCTCAAACTCCTGGGCTCAAGCAATCCTGCTGCCTCAGCCTCCCGAGTAGCTGGGACTACAGGCATGCGCCACCATGCCCGGCTGATTTTTTCTATATATTTTAGTTGGCCAATTAATTTCTTTCTATTTATAGTAGAGACGGGGTCTCGCTCTTGCTCAGGCTGGTTTCGAACTCCTGACCTCGAACAATCCGCCCGCCTCAGCCTCCCAGAGTGCTAGGATTACAGGTGTGAGCCACCGTGCCCGGCCCAAGGTGTGGTGATGGTATTGAGTGGGAGGGGCTAAAGGACTAAGATCTGTGTCGTAAGTTCCTGCCAAACTTAAATGTTAAAACAAGAAAGCTATAAGGACTGCCATCCACAATGATGAAAAGACACTGAATAGTTACCAGTGACAGATCCACATCTTATGACATCCTCACCACGATCCTGTGAGGTAGAATCTATTACCTCTATTTTGCAGATGGGGAAACTGCAGCCTAAAGAAGTTTAAAGGTCACAAAGCAAGGAGAAAGCAGTGCAGCCATGTTCTGGATCCAGATCTGTCTATATTAGGGCCCAAGTCCTTAGCCATTACACAAAACCACCTGAGAATACAGCTTGTGAAACAGAAGTGCATCAGAATGCATGTTCCCAGTCCCTTGCTGCCTGAGAGGAGGGACTTGCGGGTATACACACGGACCCTGTCTGCCAGGAAGATAGCCGCCAGACATCAATGGATATGCAGTTTCAAGTAAATATAGCAAGGACACACAATAAGGATTCTTTTTCTTCTCACGATTTATCGCCACATCTGCTCCTTTGAAATAGAGTCCTTTCACAAATGGAGGTAAGAGCAGTCTGGTTTCACAGTAATTCTTATTGGCTGCTGAAAGTCTAGGCAACTAAAATAGTACTGACACAGCACTTATCAATCTGCTTTCTTCAGCAGGCTCTAACACCAGCCACCAGCAACACCTGTGAGGAGTCAATTACACAGCATTTTCTAATCACCCAATGCCACTCCATTCATTATAGGAACTCAGGGCAGGACAGCAACTGAACCTTAATTACCCACTACCAAGAGTACAGAGTGAGTTACAAAGAGACCAAAAGACCAACACCTTCCTGACCTACTAGTCCAACAGCACTGTTAGGCTCTTAGGCTGAGAGCGTCTGGCAGGGGAAAAAGCCTCACTGAAGATGTGATAAAACAAAACCAAAAGAGAATCCCCAGCAAAAGCAGTTCTCCACAAGGGCTGGGCTCCAATCTACTTTGCTCAGCACTATGTACCCAGTTCCAGGCAATAGCAGGTGCTCAATGAGGTTCTACTGATAAAAGGGCTCCTAAGCCACCTACACTTGTACAGACTCAAGAAGCTGGCTGGCTGGTGAGCTGCACAGGGCAACCTCCGGGCAGCTCATGCAGGGCCTCAGGAGACACCAAGGCTCCAGCAATCCACAGGAAAAAAACCTTAATTTCCTACAAAGACATGCTGTAATGTCTTAATTACCTCCCTTTCCCAGGGGCAGAACCTGCAACTAAGGCTTTATCATGCTTGCCCAACACACGCCTGGCAAGAGATTAACCTGGAACAAAATGTGGGGTTTCTCAGTTGTCTGGTCTGCCTGCCCTCACCGCTGTGAAATCACAAAATATAGTGCTCAGGGCTAGGCAGCATCTGAAAGATCGCCTTAGCCACCCCACACTTGACCCTTGTAACCATCCATGACATGCAAACAGCTCCAACGACAGACAACTTTCTGCTTTATGAGGTAATCAGTTTGAAATGTTAGTTTCTCGAGAATTGAATTTCTGGCCTGGCGCGGTGGCTCACGTCTGTAATCCTAACACTCTGGGAGTCCAAGGCGGGAGGATCATTTGAGCTCAGGAGTTCAAGACCAGCTCAGGAGTCTGAGCAAGAGCGAGACCCTGTCTCTACTAAAAAAATAGAAAGAAATTAGTTGGACAACTAAAAATATATAGAAAAAATGAGCCGTGCATGGTGGCACATGCCTGTAGTCCCATCGCTTGAGCCCAGAAGTTTGAGGTTGCTGTGAGCTAGGCTGACGCCCCTGGCACTCTAGCCCGGCAACAGAGTGAGACTCTATCTCAAAAAAAAAAAAAAAAAAAAAGAATTGAATTTCTATGTAGAAGACCAAAATAGTTTTTCACCCAGTGGATCACAATTTACTTGGAGGTATCCAGAACAAAATTATTCCTCTTTCACATGACATCCTTCCAAATATTTGCTCTCTACACATTCTCTTCAGTTTATTCAACCACTTCTCTTCTGACCTGGTTTTTAGTCTCTTCACCTTCCTTCATACCTGCTTTCTCTCCCACGACAACAGACAACTACCCACAGGCCCACCTGCAGCAACTCCCCACCTGTGCACCCGAGCTCATCTCTCTTCCTCCACCACTGTCCCCCCACACTGGTCTCCTTCTCTTGAACAACCCCTCCAGAACCCCACACTGAACTACAAACATCAGTGCAAGACCCCTTTAAAAACCCAGTCCTGGGCCGGGCGTGGTGGCTCACGCCTGTAGTCCTAGCTCTCTGGGAGGCCGAGGCGGGCGGATTGCTCGAGTTCAGGAGTTCGAAACCAGCCTGAGCAAGAGCGAGACCCCGTCTCTACTATAAATGGAAAGAAATTAATTGGCCAACTAAAAATATATACAAAAAATTAGCCGGGC